GTATTACTGTTTCAATTTCCTTATGTGTTATGGGTCTGTTTAAGCTGTTTATCTCTTTTCGGTTTTGTTTTAGATATCTGTCTATTCCTTTTAGGTTTTCCAACTTAGTACATTAAAGTATTCACATTTAATGTTCCGGATCTTTTTGGTGTCTGTTGTGATATTTCCCCTTTCATCTCTGATTTTGTTGATTTGGAATGCTCTTTCTTTCTTTTGGTTAACTAGGCTAGCGGTCTGTCAATCTTGTTTTTGTTTTCAAAGAATCAGCTCTTGGAATTATTGATTATTTGTATTGTTTTCTTTGCTTCAATTTCATTGATTTCTGCCCTGATTTTTGTTATTTCTTCTTGTCTGCAGGGTTTGTGTTTTGTTTGCTGTTGCTTTTCAAGTGTATTGAGTTGCAGTGTTAAGTCATTTATTTGTGTTCTTTCCGTTTTTTTGATGTAGGCACTTAGAGCTATAAACTTCCCTCTAAGAACGGCTTTCAGCGTGTCCCAGAGGTTTTGTTGTGTTGTATTGTCCTTTTCATTTAATTCCAGGAATACTTTTATTTCTTAATTTCTCTTTTGACCCAGCCATCATTCAGGAGTGTGTTGTTTAATCTCCATGAGTTCCTGTAGTGACTAGGGCTTCTTCTGGTGTTGACTTTAAGCTTTATTACATTGTGGTCTGATACAATACATGGAATTATTTCAATTTTTTTGTGTTTGTTGAGGTTTGTTTTGTACCTCAGTATTTGATCAATTTTGGAGAAAGTTCCATGGGGCGCTGAAAAGAAAGAATATTCTTTGGTGCTTGGGTGGAATATTCAGAAGATGTCTGTTAGGTCCACTTGATGTGTGGTATTGTTTAGTTCAGACGTCTCTCTGTTTATTCTTTGTCCAGTTGACCTGTCTAATGGAGGTATTGTTTTGATGAAGTTGGGCGCACCAGAGTTTGGTGAATATATGTTCATGATTGTAATATCTTCTTGATTCATTGTTCCTTTGATCAGAATGAAGTGGCCCTCTTTGTCTCTTCTGATTAGTTTTAGTTTAAAGTCTATTTTTCAGATATTATCAATGCTATGCCTGCTTTTTTCTTAGTGCCATTTACTTGGTATATTTTTTCTATCCTTTCACTTTGAGATAGTGTCTGTCCTTGAAAGTGAGATGAGTTTCTTGCAGACAACAAAAAGATGGGTTTTGTTTCTTAATCCAATGTGGGTGATGGGTTGTGGGCAATGGGTTGTGGGCGATGGGTTGTGGGTGATGGGCTGTGGGTGAGTGTGCAGTGAGAGGAATGTCCATCTAGTTTGTTGCGTCTTTATATATGAAGGTGCACATGTCACTGTGGTGAGGCAGGGCCTCACTGGTTCTGGAATGTAGCCTTTGCTGATGTTCCATCTAGAGCTTGAAAGGACCATTCACCTGATCTTTTGGATCTTATTTGTATGGTAGTGCCCCTTCCCCTATCAGTTTCACTTTCTGCAACTTTAGTTACCTGTATTTAATCCCAGTCTGAAAGAAATAAATGGAAAATTCTATAAGTTTGTTTTTTTTTTTTTGTTTTTGTTTTTTTTTTTGGTCTTTTTTTTTTTTTCTTTTGAGACAGGGTCTCCCCGTAGCCCCAGCTGGTCTGGAACTCACTATGTAGACCAGACTGGCCTTGAACTCAGAGATCTACTTGCCTGTGCCCTGTGAGTGCTGGGATTAAAGGTGTGTGCTACTGCCTGGCACTTCCTAAGTTTTAAATAACGACTACTACAGTATATTGTTAAAATCACCTTCTTTATTTAGTCCCTCACTGTGTCTAACTTGTGAACTAAACTGTATCATAGATGCGTATGGGGAAGAAACAACAGTGTAAATAGGGCTTACTTAGTACCCTTTGCCATTTGCAGATGGTTAGTTACTGTGAGTGGTAAGTGTAGTACACAAAAATGGATGTCCTAGATAGAGGCGCATCTCACCTCCTGGGATGGTTGTGTGGGATGGCAAGCAATGTCATCACTCCTCTCAAAACAGTATGTAATCCAAAACTCATGAATAATTTCTGGTCTCTATTAAGTGTTTCCAAACTGAGGACAGCTACAGGTAACAACCCAGTGGGGAATTGTGGGTTGGGGGGAGGGATATCAGAAGGCATTCAGTACACTGACCCCTGAGGCTGTCCTTTGAGTCAGCTGGAACCTTTAAATCGATCTCTTTTCTTCATGGAATGATTTTCCAAAGTGGACCTGCACTCTTTTCTGAAATCGCACAATGGCATTCACCTGCATGCCTTTCTGGGTTCTGTGGATTCCTGCTCCCACTTGAGTTCAGTTAGCATCTGTGTGGGGGAAGTCAGATGCTTTCCTATAAAAGTAGAGATAGAGTGATGTCACTTAGGCTGTAGAAAGGCCTTACACTCAGGCCAGGTATCCATGGCTTCCTGCTGAATAGACTGTAAGCCTCTATACAGCAGCCTTTGCTAAACTCTAGCGTCCTCTGTGGAGGTTGCTTCTGCTCCTCATCTGTGTATGTTGCTGCAGGTAAAGAAGTCAGGAAGCAGCCTCATGTTCCTCCTTGTGGACAAAGAAACTGACAAGCGCTACAACGAACAGAAGATACAGTTCAAGAGGGAAACAGCCAGTCTGAAACTGCTGCCCCACCAGCCCCGGGTGGTGACCATAAAGAAGGGAAGCAATGGCTATGGCTTCTATCTGAGGGCAGGCTCTGAACAGAGAGGTGAGCTACCAGCACAGCAGGAAAGCCGTGAGTCCTGCATCCCAGTCCGACTCCAGAGTTCCATCAAGCCACCTCCACTCCTGACACAGGAGGGACGAGTAGGGAACTAGGAAGCAGAGCTGGATCAGTGCCCAGGCCTGATGTTGGAGGTCCAGGCTCCATAGTTGAATGTTTAGGCAGAATTTAGGATCTGGGCAGACATATGCTAGTAAATCACCTCTCTGAAAAAAATCAGAATTTGAAACATTTGCTGATTTTTTTTTTGTGGTGTTAATATCCTGACTTCAAGCTAGCCAATACAATGACCTTGAACATAAAACTGGACAGTTGCCTAGAACTGGCAGTTGTGAACCCATGTGAGCAGCTGCAGCACACCACTGGGTCCAAGGCAAAGGTGCAGGTCAGGATCTGGGACTCGAACAGAACCAGGAATCTTTCTGCTTCCTTGTAACTCAACAGGAGAACTAAAGGTCTCCAAGGGGTACAGATGACATAAAAGACTGTCAGTTCAGGTCCCACACAATGTTATTCACACATTGTTTGCTTATATTAACTCATCAACTTGTTCACATTATACAAAACACCCTCCATACCTTTAAGGTATCAATGAATCCATCAAATTATCCAGAAGAAATAAGATACAGAGATTGATCAACGATAATGATAAATACCTTAGTAAAGGGGCAGATAGTGCTGATACTCCAAGGTCAGAGCAAGCTTTCCTTACTCAGAAGGAACCAGATGAACACATAGGGAGTTGGCACTTGACCTTAAGCTTTATAGAATGTCTAGAATTTGGAAAAGTGTATGGAACAAGTGCTAAGGGAGGTCATCTCAGGAACATAGGAGTCATGTGAACAAAGCGAGGAGACATGGGTACAGTTTGGCATCTGGCATGTAAGAATCCAAGTGAGAACTGCAGGGTGGAGGGATGAGGAGGGACCTCTGACAGGTGGAGCTCGGACTTGGTCCTGTAGTCAATAGAGAAAAGCCTCTTGAGCAATGTGAGGGTGAAGAAAAATGTTAAGCCTCTGATACCTTGGAGGCTCTGCTGATCTCAGTTACTCCTAACAATTCTGCAAGAATTGCTGAAATTGGGAGCTTAAAGAAGATGCAGTAATTGTGTAAGTTTAACTGGCTTATAGCTGGGATCAAATGCAGAGCTGGTTAGTTCCAAAGTCCACACTTGTTGCAAATCACTGGGAGTGGCTTAGCAGACATGCATCTAGATGGACCTGAAAGAGATCATAGGGGAAAGACGGGGGTACTGGGCGAGCAGTTTCTAAGGTAGTGTAGGCAGGATTCTAGGCAGAACCCAGCATACACTGCATTCAGGATAGACTAGGTCTGGAAAAGAACAAAGTATAAAGGTAACATTGAAAGACATGACAACTGACCAGCTATGGGACATGGATACAGAAGAATCAATTGCTATGTTTTGGTGACTAGGGGGGATGATGCTCTACTGACAGGTGACCAAGATGCAGTGCTTTGGGATGGGGAATGGGTAGAGATGACTTTGAGTTTGAATCTATTACATTTGGGAGAATCTGAATCCCTTGTTGCAGGTACATAGCAACTAGCTAGAAGAGTGAAACCGGTGTTTGTTAATAATAGTAAGGAACAGAAAACAAAACAAAACTATGAGAGATCTGGAAGCATCTGATGAAGACAGCCTGTCAGAAAAGCTAAAGACACTGTTAAGGCCCAAAAATACATTTGCAATCTAATATGCCCAGTTACTACTGTAACCAGTCTGTCAGGGATGAAGATGTTTAAGAGAGATTTGTGTCCCTCACATTGAAACAATGAACGTCAAGAAACTAGAATTTCCCCAAGAATCTCATGCTAGGAGAAGAGAAAGTCTAAAGACTGGGCCAGCCAGAAGGGAAACTTTTCTCCTAGGAAGAGAGTTGTAACTTATGAGATCACTTTACAGGAGAGGAAATAATGGGTCAGTGGTGGGCAGGACCTGAAGATAGACTTGAGGGGGGGCACTGGATCTCTTTTGTTCCTCTTACCGTTGTGGCCACGTTGACTCAATCTCCTTTTTCTACTTTTCACAATTAATTTGGCTGTCTTAATTGGCTTATGGAAGGATAGGTGGCCAAGCCTAGCTTGTTGGGGCACAGGACATGACCCCCAAGTCTAGAAACACTGCTAAAATGGCCAGCATGGTTTCCAAAGATATACAGCCTTTCATTGTGTTCTGTCTCCTGTTCTTGCCTTTTGAGGCAGGGTCTCACTGTTTGGTGAGACCAACCTTGAATTTGAGATCTTCCCACTTCCATGACCCTAGTACTGGCCCTTTCCCTTTTATGGCTTAGCTGCTATGTCCACTGATTTCCTAGAAACTTGCTGACCCTTAAATGCTTAGCTTATTTTACTAAAAGTGCCTTACATTTACTTTTGACAAAGAAATGGTTCTCAATCTCTTAAGACCCTTTGATTGTTAGTGGCTGGAACAGTCTAGAGAGGGTGTTTTGTAGGCTCCCGGGATGCAGTGGGAGGGGGGAGTAGTTGTACTCTAGGCTATTTCCTTGGGGCCTTGAACACCAGCAGAAATTTCAGAGTTTATATGTTTGGAGGCTTTCCTGGTAATTTTCTTTCTGGGGGGAGGGTAGGTCAAACAATCAAGGACATAGAATCCGGAAGCCCAGCAGAGGCAGCTGGCTTGAAGAACGACGATTTGGTAGTTGCTGTTAATGGCGAGTCTGTGGAAACCCTTGATCATGACAGCGTGGTGGAAATGATTAAAAAGGGTGGTGACCAGACTACACTGTTGGTGGTAGACAAAGAGACAGATAACATATACAGACTGGTAAGTGATACAAATAATGCATAGCTTCATATATTAAGGCTGCTCATTCATTCACTCATGCCCTCAAACTCTGGGCTGAGCTACTGCTTTGTTTTTCAGCCTAGAAGGGGCATAATCATTAAAGTCAAATGATGGCTCAAATCAGTAGTGATAGGAAAATGGTAATTGAGTTTTTAAATTCCTGGACTAAAGGCTTTGAGAAAATTTGTAATAAGCTATGGAGAACAGGAGGTGGGAACTAGACAGAGGTGGTCATAGTTTCTCTATGTAGAGGATAGATGGATTTAATTTTAATTAAAATTTAGATTTATGTATATATGTATGAGTCTCCCTGTGTGTATATGCACATGCATGTTGTTGCCCACAGAGGCCAGAAGAGGGCATCAGTTCCTCTGGAGCTGGAGTTAAGTTGCTGTGAGCCACCCAATGTGGCTGGGGACCCAACTATGGTCCTGTGCAAGAGCAGTAAGCACTCCTAACTGTTGAGCCATTTTTTCCAGCCCTGATAAGTGAATTTTAAATTGTTGATCAGCAAATTCCATAAATTGTGTAAAAGTCTAGAAGATTATTAAAGTTTGTTGTCCTTAATAAAAATACAGTAGACTCACCAAGATTGAATTGTATCAAAGTAACCATATTTCCTCTTAACCATATCAGCTGCCATGTGTTAAGTTTTTAGAAAAGATTTTAGTTTAAGAAAATTAAATTTTATGTGTATGAGTGTTTTGCCTGCATGTGTGTAAGTGTACCATGTGTGTGCAATGCCCATGGAGGCCAGAAGAGGGTGTTGCGTTTCCTGGATGTTGGTGTTGGAGTTGCAGATAGTTGTGAACTGCCCAATGTGGGTGGTGGGAATTGAACTCAGGGCCTCTGCAAGAGCAGTATGTGCTCTTAGCCACTGACCCATCCCTTCAGTCCCAATATTAAGATTTTATATTTTATCACAAGAATTGAGATTCAGTCCAGCTCAACAGATATCTGGGGGCCTAAGTACCATCTGCTTTGCTAGATGTTGGTGATAGGGATGAATAAGATAATGGTTCTCCTGTGTGTGATGTTCATTGACAAGCATCTCAAGGTACTTGCTACAGAGGGAGGTGTAGTGTGGGTGGGGACACTGGCCCCTTTTTACAGATTAGCAAGTGGAAGCTTAGAGACTACGTGATTTGCTGAGGCTGCCTTGCTTAGGGGAGACTGAAGTCAGTATTTGAACCCAAGCTCTTGGACTCAATTCATCAGACCACACATGTTCTCACACATTTTGATTAGATCTTTCCTAGATAATTTTGGTCAATGAGGTTAATGAATTAGGTAGAAAAAAATGGAATTTTAGGTAGTTTAACAGCCATAACTAGAGAATCTTTGACACTGGAACACCACCAACTCGAACTTGTTCCTATCTTAGTTTATTAAATTTGGATTGAGACATGGAATGCAAATTTAATGTATTTTCCTAGGATTTAAAGGAATGATGGGTAATTGACAGGAGGATGTAACCAACATTCAAAATATCCAGGGCCGAGGGAGATAGCTCAGTCAGTAAGGTACTTGCCAAGGCAAGCATGGAGATCTGAGTTTGATCCCCTTGTAAAAAGCCAGGTATGGTGGTGCAAGCTTGTGGTCCCAGTGCTGGGGAGAATCCCCAGGGTTTGCTGGCCAATTAGCCTAGCCTGATGGGAGCTCCAGGCCAATGAGAGACCCAAAAAAGGCAAGGTGGACAGCTCATGAGGGATGTCATCCAAGGTTTTCCTCTGCACACATGCACACAAGTGGACTTGCACACACATGAATGTATGCACATGTGCACACTCACAAATATCTAATCGGGATAGAAAGAATAAAAACTAGTAAGCTTAAGTAGGAATGATTTAAAGTACTAAGCTAATTTGAAAGTAACTGTATAAATATGAAATGTTGAACAGATCTGATACTCCATAAAGCTGCCCCCACCCAAAAGAGGTGATGGAAGGTCACATTAACTGGCTTCTAGAAGTAATCACATTACGGTATTGAGTTGGTCATACCAACCTTGGAATGATTAGTAACAGAATCCCGGTGAAGTTATCTTCTCTGTGCCTCACTTTCCTTGGTAGTTAGAATGGTGTGAAGGGTAGTGAGATTACATTAGCATTTAGAGCACATTGGTATCCCGCCCCCCGACCATTTGTTGAATTAATATTGTGTTTGGTTCTGAGAATCCCACTTTGATACAGGCCTGTGAAAAAAAGGTAAGCAGTGGAAGGGGTTCTGGAAGGCACTGAGGGTTTCGCTTGAAGCAGAGTAACTTCCAAGGTGAGAAGGGCATCCTTAAGAATTGGAAAAGCTGGCAGACAGTTGTCCGTTTCAAATAAACCTCCTCACTTTTTGAAAGACAAGAATTATTAGAAACACTATTGCCTGTAAGGAGCAGATGATATGGGGAGCTATTTTTGGCTTAAGAACATTTACTGCTGGAAACGGGACACGTGATTTCTGCAACACTGGCTTTCCTTTTTCCTTCGCTTTCTGAAAGCCCCTGCTTTTGTTCTTGTAGACTCTGACTCTGGCATTTCCTCAATCCCTTGAAACATGACGAAATGCTCACAGAATGTTGTAACTATAATTTTTCTGGTTTTGTTAATGTGAGAGGGGCGCCTGCCCCACTTTCCAAAGTAGGCTGTGTAGGATGGCATGATGCGGATCAGTGAATGAATCAAGCATCTTTAACAGCTCCCGACACTTACTAGGTTACAAACATTCAAAAGAATGAATAAAAACCTCACTGCGTCAACTTTAATGGCAGTGGGCTTTGCCTCGAGAGAAGCTGCTAGTGTCCAACACAGCTGATATGCCTTCTGGGTAGAGAAGTGAACCACTCTGAGGACATTTTCAAGAGCCTCCAGTGTGGAACATTCATAAGCATCTCTGAAAGCGCAGCAGTTGACTGAACTGCACAGTAGTTTGGATGTTTTGTGCTGCTGCTACTCTCAGAAAGGAAAGTGATGTGGTCTTGTGGTTAGTAAGACAGACTCCAATCAGAGGACCCCAAATCTAATTTTAGCTAAGCTGCTGCAGTGTCGTTTGAGGTGGCACACACGGTGTTCGCCATCACTTGATCTCTGCATTGCCTAACAAATGTCCTGGACACCTGTTGACCTCAATTTAACTGCCGATCCAGATTGATACTACACCTAAATGTAGCCCCCTAACTCAAAATCCTCAGCCAGCTAAGGTCTTAACTTTATTTAAAAAATTAGGGATGGGGCGATAGCTCAGTTGGTAGAGTGTTTGCCTCACAAGCATGAGAACCCGATGACCTGAATTGATCCCTAGGACCATGTTGAAATGCTAGGTGTGGTGGCATGTACTTGTAGCCCCAGTGGTGGGCAGGCAGAGAAAGGCAGATCCCTGGGGCTCACTGGCCAGCCAGCCTAAACTTACTTGGTGAGCTCCAGGCCATTGAGAGACCATGTCTCAAAAGACATGGACAGCATTCCTGAGGCTGACTTCTGAGGCTGTCCTCTGGTCTCCACATGCACACACCAGTATCAACACAGACACAAACATACACATGCATAAGAACAAAAAAAAATCAGTTACATTTCCTGTTTTGTATTCAAGACCACTATGCTTTCTTCAATGGTTGGGAGTGAGATGGACTAGAAGTATTTAAAGATAAGCTTAGCATGGGGGAAGTATCAGCTAACCAGTACAAAGGTAAATTAAGCTGAGCATGAGATCCCAGCACTGGGAGATGGCAAGTCGTCAGGGGCTGGAATCAACTTGCTACTGTGTGTATCCACATCTCTCATTTCTGGTGTGTAGGAATTTTTCTTTTCTGATGTTTTTGAGTCTTCAGTTAGTGATAAAACATGTCTTAAATTTCCTTAATGTGTTTAAGGGGCTCTGAAGACCATCTTGCTGAAGGGGAGGGGAAGCACAATCTACTTGCCTGAGATGTTGGGCTAGCTCCTCGGATTTGTCTCAAGGGAGGCTGCAGACCAAGTGCTCAGTACTTCCTATCATGGAGTCAAACTAGCAATTCTGTTAGACATCCTTCTGGATCCTGGTATAGAACTCTATACTACTTTCATTTTATTTATTTTTAAAGCTTATTTTGAGACAGGGTTTCACTATGTAGCCCTGGCTGGCCTGGAATTCACTATGTAGACCAGGTTGGAGTAGTAGAGCTTTATAACCTACAATTGAGGAGGAGCGGAACAGTCACCACACTCTGGGTATTAAAACTTCACGTTTAATAAAGTATAATTATTCGTACTTGTATTTTTTCCCTTTATTTTCAAAAGGCTCGTTTTTCTCCACTTCTCTACTGTCAAAGTCAAGAACTGCCTAATGGATCTGTCAGGGAGGCTCCAGCTCCTGTTCCTGTCCTGGGCATCTCAAGTTCAGATACTACCGAGGAAGTGGTGGATCATAAGCCTAAACTCTGCAGGCTGGTAAAAGGGGAAGATGGCTACGGTTTTCACTTAAATGCGATTCGGGGTCAGCCAGGCTCCTTTGCCAAACAGGTATGGTAACCTGGTTCCAGCAGTCCATCCAACTCAGCCATCAAATCAAACCATGAGTTGGCTTGACTCTACTTGGCAGTTACACTATTGATTGTTTCTTTGCATTTGTCACAGTGTCCTTACCCTGTAGGGACTTCAAGTCCCTACCCTGTAGGGACTCTCAAGCTGGGATCCTAGGACGGGAATCTATGAAATCTAATGCCTTCAGGGCAGAAGATGTACACGACGATATTCAACTAGTTTGGAACATTACTAATTTGAGAACAGAAAATGTAGCTTTCTTAAGTCATATTAGAAGAATTTTAGCTTCTGTAGCTCAAGGAGAAATAATGACATGGTTAAGAATCAATTCAACCTCCTGTTCTGAAGGGACACTATCTGGCAAGCCCTGACTCACGTTCAGATGGCTTAGAACCTCTGTTCACAGGTACAGAAGGGTGGCCCTGCTGATAAGGCTGGGCTGGAAAATGAGGACATCATCATTGAAGTGAATGGGGAGAACGTGCTAGATGAGCCCTATGAGAAAGTGGTGGGCAGAATCCAGAGCAGCAGGAAGAACATCACACTCTTGGTCTGTGGAAGGGAGGCCTATGATTACTTTCAAGCTAGGAAAATCCCGATCGTTTCCTCCATGGCCAGTCCCCTGGACACATGTCCTGATTCCAAAGGAGAAATGTCAGCAGAGTCGGAGCATGACTCACGCACTGCAAAAGAACGGGTAAGTTATTCATTGTTTGTGGTGTCTCGCTACAGGACAGCACAGTTCCTGTCAGCCACATCTGTGTGCTCCAGATTTTCCAAAACTTCAGAAAATGGTAGCATAAAGGTCACTAATGTATTGAGAAGAGATCATACAAAGACAAGCTTCTTTTCATGTGAATTAGTGTTTTGCCCGCCTGTGTTGTGCAGTATCTGCGGAGGGCAAAAGAGGGCGTTAGATGCCCTGGCACTGTAGTTAGTTGTTTGCTGCCATGTAGGTGCTGGGAACTGAACCCAGGTCCTCTGCAAGGGCAGCCAGTGCTGAGTTCATCAAAATCTTAATGGAGACAGTGAAAGAACCCAACTCTATCATTTGGGTCCAGATTCTGGTTCTGCCACCAGTGTTGGGTGAAGAGATTTACTTGTTCTGTTCTTAGGTTCCCTACTAATAAAACAAGGATTATCTGTAGGACTGTTACCTGAATGAAATTCTTTGAACAGCATCTGGCTCACAGTGACTTAAAAAAAAATAAAAGGAGATGGTTAGGGTTTTAAAGAATTGGCTGATGCTACAATTCTGTCAAATTTCTCTTCATAGATGAACTTGTAGTTCAAAAGTGAACTGACTTGCTGGGTGTGGTGGTGCATGCCTTTAGTCCCAGCACTTGGGAGGCAGAGGCAAGCAGATCTCTGAGTTCAAGGCCAGCCTGGTCTACATAGTGAGTTCCAGGCCAGCTGGTGCTACAGGGAGACCCTGTCTCAAAAAGATCAAAAAAAAAAAAAAGTGAACTGACCGATCCAAGTTCATAAAGGAAATTTATGACGGCTCTAGTTAAGTTTCAGTACAGAAGGCTGGAGAAATGGTTCAGTGGTTAAGAGCATGTACTGCTGTCAGAGGACCCAAGTTCAGTTCCTAGAACCCACATGGGACAGCTTACAATGACTTATAACTCATTCCAGGGGATCTAACACCCTCTTCTGGCCTTTGTGGGCACCTGCACACATGTGGCATATACTTACCCAGACATCTGTGTAAATAAAAATAAAATCTTATGTTTCAGTATATTTTTTCATTATATTACTTTCACTGATTGATGAGGTCAATTATAGTACTACAGTGTCTTATAGAAGTTAAATATTCATCTATCTGTTGCCATTGATAAATTTATGTATCGAATAGTAAGCTGGGAATCAAGTGTAGACTTCAGATCATGTTTTCTAGAAGCGAGAGGCTTTACTCCCTGACGTAGGCCATGCAGCAGCTCTAGATGAGACCGTCCTCTCCTGATGTTCACCCTCTCTCTGCCAGTGTAAATCCTTGGCTTTCTTTTGCACAGGCCAACAGCACAACCTCAAACTCTTCTGGCTCTGAAGATACAGAGATGTGAGGAGAACAAGGATGGCTCTGGCCAATAGGATTCCTAGTACACATTCAAGGAAGGAGTCACCACCCATGAGCTGTTCCAACTCCTCTGGAATCATTCGTCCCCATGACTGTCTGCTGTCGTCTTTGTCTTAGGGGCTGCTCTTGTAGATGGCTTATTTATGCTCAACTTAGACGGAAGGCAGGAGCCAGGTTCTTATGTGGCATCTTCCAAAGTTCCACTTTCCATTATCTGTTGATGACACCTCTTGCTTCCGAAGGTTCCCTGAGCACTGAGGATGATTCTTGTCTACCTGAGCTGCTAGTGAAAGTCTCGAAGCAGACAACCCTATTACAGTTGTGCTTTTGTAGCAATGTTATGGCTGCTGAAATAAATTTCCTTAAAATGCTTTGAGTTGCTTGCAGCTCCTCTTAGCTGATATAATCTGAACAGCACTGTATAAACATAGTTTTAGATTTGTTTTTACTCATGTGTGTGTATGCCAGCAGAGACCAGAAGAGGGTCAGATCCCTTGGAGTTGGAGTTACAGGTGGTTCTGAGCCACCTGACATAGGTGTTGGGAACCGAACTTGAGTCCTCTAAGAGCAGCAGGTGCGGTCACTCTGGCATAAACATTTTAGTCTTTAATTTTCATTTGCTTCCAGAAACTCTGGATGGGATAAAATTGACTATGACCTTAGTAATAAGAGAAGACTTCCAGGCAACACAATTTAGAATTTTCTTAAATTGCATTTGAATGAAGTTTTCTAACATCCTCCATTTATAGATGAAGAGCTTATGTTTCAGGAAAGGATTTGTTCCAGTTAACAGCTATCCACTGTTTTACTCCACGGCATGGAGGCAGACGGAAAGGAACCCGAGAAACTCCACTATGCAGTTAACAGAAGGCATTCACTCTTCATACTCATTTAAAAGAAAATTAAAAACCAGCAGACCAGAGGCAGGCAGATCTGTGTGAGATCGAGGCCAGCCTGATCTACAGAGTTCCAGGCTGGTTGGGGCTATAGAGAGAACCTGTCTCAAAAAGACACACACAAACAAAACACATACAAACAAAAAATTGGCAGTTGCTTTTAGTGAAACTGATTCCAGCTGCCCACCATCCCTTTCTTAGAAAAGAACAGACAGCCTCTTGGTTATTTTTATAGGGTAGAGTTAGGGAAGGAAGGAGGGATGCCGTCTCACATTAGGTCACACAAGCATAACAAGCAATGCCTGCTAAGTGAACCAAGGCCAAAGTGTTACAAACTGCTTTTAATAAGTTGGTCTCAAGGGAAAGCAAAACCTTCAGATGTGTCTGGCTACCAGACATCTGCTCCAGAGCTCCAGTGTATCCTCATGCCCTGCCCCACCTCCCTCCCGACTTTGGACCACCTCGCATCCATGCATGCCCCCTACTATGTGCTGCCTAGAGTCCTCTCCCCTCGAGAAGCTGTTATGATCAGGAGGTAGGCATGTGCTGGAGGTAGAATATGCCACCACATCTCATTGTTTAGCCCCGAGTCCCCTCTTTTGACTCCATTGGCGCCTAAGATTCTGTCGTGGGGCTGAGTTCAAAGAGTCATATGCTTCTCTGGTGCCTGTTTGTGAGCCAAGTAGAGGAACAAAATGCTGGAGAGGGCGCTGACTAGGAAGATGACATCGAACCAACGGTGATAAAAGTTGAACTGAAGTTCTCCTAGAACTTCTGTGATTATGGTGCGGTATTCTGGAGGCATGCTCATTCGGATCAGTAGCACAGAGGAGACGAAGTACATGCCCTGTAGAGTCAAGCATCAATTAATTCAGAAGTTCCTCTTGAGTGTAGTGAGGGGAAGATCAGAGAAAACCTGAACTACTAAAACAATCTTCAAATCGCGATTTTTAATTTATGCATGTACGTCTGTGGGTGCGAGCCTACCACAGTGTGCATGGGGAGGTCAGAGCAGAGTTCTCTCCTACCATGTGGGTCCAGAGGACTGAACTCAGGTTGTCAGGATTGGAGGCAAGTGATGTTAGCCACTGAACCATGGCATTGGCTTAAATCATTTAAAACACATTTCTGGGCTGGAGAGGTGGTTTAGCAGTTAAGAATGTGTACTGTTCTTATGGGAACCTGAGTTTGATTCCCAGCACATACATTCAGTGGCTCACAACTGCCTTTAACTCTACCTCCAGGGGATCCTATACCCTGTTCTGGACTCTGAGAGTATTTGCACTCACATGCACATTACCCCTCCTTCCCCCCACAATTAAAAAATAAATCTTAACCCCAAACAACCCACATTTCTAAGCTGGGCACGGTGGTACATACTTTTAATCTCAATACTTGGGAGGCAGAGGCAGGTGGATCTCTGCCTGAGGCCAGGTTGGTCTACATAGTCCCAGGCCAGTCAGGGCTACAAAGTGAGATCCTGTCTTAAAAAAAAAAGGTCAAGGCCAACCATGAGTTTGACACTACATGAGACCTTGTCTCAAACACTCCCCTACCCAATCACATTTCTGGCATTTTACAATTGAAGACATGAAGCTAGCTCATCAAACTTACCATTATCTGTGCTAAAAGCAGGACGATGACATTGGAGGACTTACTGCTGGAGATGGCATAAAAGAACTAAAAGGGAAAAGAGATGAATATGGCTAGATTCCTGTGTTATGAACTATAAGCTACACAATTAATGAATCATCTCCCATGCCACAATCCTGTACAGAATAATTAAGAGGTTAAGGCTATACAAAAAGGACTTAAACATAGATGCTAAAAAACTGAAGTTCCTTCTTGAGGCAGCTAGTGGTTTTACTGTGACTTCCTAACCAAGGGTTCCTTCCAGAAGTTGTGATGCACATGACCCTAGCATCATAATATAGCATTACAACAGCTGTGATGCACACAACTCTAGCATCATAACACAACATTACAACAGCATCTCCAGGCCCTGCAAGCATCGCAACTGTAAATGGGCTCCTGAGCTCTTCACACGTTTGCTAGAATGGAGACCCTCTTCCTCACAATTGCTTTTCTTTCATTCAGTGTTTGGATCTTGAAATCCCTCCTTATACCAGAGAGAACTCTCTTTCTGCTTCCATGCAGCCTCCTCATGTCCCTTAGTGTATCTTCTTCACAAATGACTCTCAATTACTCTAACCTCAAATGTCTCATTTATCCCAAGTATCTGCTGAACACCATGTGCCAAATTCAGTCACTGATGTGGCAGATCAATGAACAGAACCCTTCCCTCTTTCTATCAGCTCTGAACTTATCTGTATGATGCCATACATTACCATCAAATTACAGAGCACTTTAATACTTTAATTTTTCTCTCTTCTAAGTTGTTAAGGCTTTTGCTTAGATCTCAGAAGTCAGGAATCTTAATTAGGTAACATTATTTCATGGTGCCACATGAGATTAAATAAGACCCTTTAAACCCTGCGAGGAGACATACCTTGGTAAGCGTGATCAGCAGTCCTCTGATGGATGTGACAATAATGATTCCAACCAGAATGAAGGAAATGTGCTGAGACCAGAACTTCACCTGCCACCAGAACAGGAGGAATAGCAGTTTTCTCCATTTGTTTAGAGAGCCTAAAGGCTATTGTGAGCTCTGCTCATTTATGCTATGAGAAGGGGATCCACTGGGCCTCTGTTTGATTTTTTTTTCCCAAGTGAAATGGTAAGTAAATACCTACAGAGAGTCTACAGTGGGTCCCTTAGTCAAGTCTTAAGGATCAAATGAAATGAGAGAGAACACCAATGATCAGAAAAGCCACAGCTAATGACATGACGTTTCTATGCTAAGGGCGGAGAAGGAATGAGAAGGAAGTGACCCAGTAGAAGCTCCTTTTAATGCTACCTGTGAAAGATCACTGTCTACACAAAACGTCAAGGATCTTTTTATAAAAGGACGACATGGGCATTCTTGGCTAAGTTCTAGGAAATACTGAATTTCACTTGAATCACAAGATGAAACTTTTTATCTTCTCCTGAACGGCTGGACAGTTTTGGGACCTTGGATCTGTGCTTGATTTGTTTTTGGAAAGTACCCGAGGCAGGGGTGTTAACATCTAAAATGCTTGTTATTCAGAATCAGGAAAAATGGGAGAAATTGACGAATTAGAAATGGACAGATACAAGTAAGCAACAAGTAAGTAGCCTTGGGAAGCACAGGCATGGAAGCGCATTTCTCAAAGTTTAGCTCAGTAAAAAAATTAAAATGAGGAAACCACATAGGCCCCAGTAACAAAGCACATGGAACACAAATCCCACACGACCTGAAGGAAAGATATTGTGCAAATGGAACACACTACAAACATATCATCAAAAGGGTGTACTTAGGGGCAGAGAAGATGGCTCAGTGGGAAGAGCACTTGCTGTAAAAGCAAGAGGGCCTGAGTTCAAATCTCTAGCACTCACGTAAAAGCTGGGCATGGTCCTGGGTAACCCCAGCGTGGGTGGATACTGGGCTGAAAAGGCAAGTTCAAGTTTCAGTGAGAGACTACTGTCTCAAAAAATAAGGTGGAGAATGATAAGAGAAAGGCACCCAACATCTTCCTCTGGCCTCCACATGTGTGCGTGCACCAGCGTGTGTGTGTGTGCAGAGCTATACTTGCGCTGGGTGCTGTGGCTTGTGCCTTGGAATCCCAATACTAAGGAGGTAGAATCAAGAGAATTGTGTGAGTTTGAGGCCAACCTGTGCTATATACTGGGACCCTGTTTGATAAAGAAGTACAGTTGGGACTGTTTCTCCAGAACTGCAGCTCAGCTTGCTCGGGCTCATTCTCCTTTTACCCACCCACTCTTGAAATCACCGGCATGCTGTGCTAAGATGAAGACTGAGGGCAGTACATACCATGTCTGGGCTCAGAGCAAGCTAAATGGGCCACCTCAGGATGAAGAATGCGACACTACTCTTATTATCAAAGTGTTAATCATCTTGAATTATTGGTCACCTGGAAAATATATTATTCTACAAATAAGGACCCTGAACTTGAGAGAGTGTGTTTATGAAAAAAGGAGAAACAATTAAAAAAAGAACCTAGCCTAACTGTGTACATAGGTGACACTTGCTATCTTTAGTCCAAGGTACATCTTAATGAATTGATAAAGATAATTTCTTACAGCAGAAATCATTTCAGCTCTATCACAGAACACTAATTGGCTATCAATCTTTTACTAGGAGAATCAAAGGTGAGTTTATCTTTGAGTAGCTCATTAAGTACCACAGAGAAAAAGATCTGAATAATTGGTGGGGAGAAATGGGCAAAGTGGTAGCTGGCTGCAGGCGGGCTGGGAGGACTGTAGGGATAGGCAGCACCCACAACTGTGAGTACTGATTATTATTTATGGCTTCATGCTAAGAAAGGGAAATTGCTTTTACCACCGTGTGAGTTGTCAACACATCCACAGTGGGAAAACAAAAGGACCTAAAGTTCAGGATTAAAATCCGAATGTCAAGTTATGTCTAGATGAAACAGAAAATTAACAAATCAGGATCTAGGTTGACTCTTACATCAAACTGGATTCCTAGGTAATTCACGGTGATCTCAATGCCACGTGTGACAGGATCAGTTTTCCCAACTCGATCAAAAACAATATTGATGGTTGCCTGTAGAGAGACAGACCTTGACATTAGAACATCTTATAATCACTGTTTCAAAGTGATTCAACAGCTGATAAGATGGCTCAGTGGGCAGAGACACTACTAAGCCTGACAACCTGAATTCAATCTCTGGGACCCACATGGTGGAAGGAATGAACTGATACCTGCAAACTGTACTCTGAATTTGGCATGTGTGCCCAAACACACACACACACACACACACACACACACACACACACACACACACTAAATGTAATAAAATTTAAAAATGATTAAGATGAATTAATAATCATAACATATTTTATAGGTTAACATTTCCAAAACTGCAGGTCTAATCTAAAGCACAAATAGAAAACTCTATTTTGGCCACTCACACAGGCAAACAGTCTCAAAACCATCTTTCTTTTCCGTAATCGTCAAGGGCACTAAAGCGATGGCATACCCACGCCACCTATCAGAAGTCAGAAAGCTAACATTCCAGGAGGGGGTGAAGCTAGAGCAAGAACTAAAGAATTCCAGTGATTACTTTGCAAATGCTCTGAGAGCAAAGACAAAAGGAGTTAAAGCTCAGAGGTTAACAAATGAAACCCAGTGAAAGACACCCAATTAATCCCAGAGGTAGCAGTTTTAAAAGGGGAAAGAGAAGGAGGACAGCCAGCCACATGGAATGGTAAATCTAACCAGGTTGATCACATTAAATGTAAAGAGTTTAAATGGCAGGTCAGCAAATGTTGCCTCTGTGGCGTCACAGTAGCCAGGGCAACACATAAAGGAAAGGCTTGGCTCTACTCCAAGAAAACCTTACTTGCAAAGGTGAGTGGTACTGCTTTGCCTGTGGACTGTAGACTGCTAATCCCTGATCCAAACACAGGAGTGACATGGCAGACTGTCAAACTGGATAAAAAAAACACCAAGATCTAACTACTACATATGTTGCCCATAGGAAATGCACTTTAAATACAAAGATATAGATAAGTTGAAAGTGAAAGGATGGAAAAAGGTATATTAAGCTGACACTAATATATTGGAGATAGAATGTTATATTAATATAAAATAAAGATTTGATAGCAAAGATATCGTCAGGTATTAGATGGGGAGTTTTATAACGGCAAAAGGGTCATCTCAACAAAGGATAATTAATGATTCTAAGTGTTTTCATGACAATAACAAAGCTTCAAAATGTTCCAATGAAACCCATTATTTTGTACACTAAAAAAAGAAAACATTTAAAAAAGCATTATGTATCTCATGTTTAATTTTCTTGAATCTATCATTTTATGTGAATGTGTTTTGTCTGCATGTATATAAGTGCACCGTGTGTGTGTAATGCCCATGGAGACCAGAAGAGGGTGTCAGATCCCTAGGAACTGGAGTTATGGGATGGTTGTTAGATGCCATGTGGGTGCTGGGAACTCAATGTGGGTCCTTTGCAAGAGCAGCCAGTGCTCTTAACCACTCAGTCGTTTCTCCAGCCCCTCAAGATGTTTAGAAGAGAGGAATTAGAATGAAAGACACAATCAAAGCTCAAGGAAAGGGATATGCTACCTATCCTGAATTGATCACTGCTCAGTGCATATACTGTACCTCACAAAAATGTGTAAATATGTGTCAACTTAAAAAATTAAAAATGTGGGTCACAAAATAAAAGAATAACAAAAAAAGTTTCAAAAAACATGAAGCAGGGGGCTAGAGAAAAGGCTCAGTGGTTTAGAGTGGTGCTCTTGCAGAGGAAAAAAAGTTCAGTTCCCAGCACTCAGGTCAGGTGGCTTTCAACCACCTACAACTCCAGCTCCAGGGAACCTGACAACCCCTTCTGGCCTCTGTGGGCACTGTACTCATATGCACATACTCCCACACAGACACACATGCATACACATATTAAAAATAATAAAAATCAATCTTAAAAAAACCATGAAACAAAAACTGATAGAAATGAAAAAGGAAAAGTATTCAAATAGAAAAGAGCTGTATTTATTCCATCAATAATTGACAAAACAAGAAATCAGAGAATCTGTATGAATACAGAAAAGCTTAACAATACTGTGAACAAACGTAACCTACTGGCAGTTATAGAGCATATTAGGAAACAAGAGTGGGTTACACATTCTACTTAAGAGCACGTAGAACATTACTATGCTGAGCCTAGTTGATGGAATCTATTCAAATAATACAAAATATGTTCTTAGACTGCATGGAATCAAATTAGAAATCAACTAGAGAATGATATTTGGGAGATCTCCAAGATTTTTTTTTTTGAAATAGGGTCTCATGTAGCTTAGGTTGGCCTAGAACTCATTATATAGTTGAGGATGACCATAAACTGCTGATTCTCCAGCCTCCACCACCCAAGTACTGGAATCATAGACATGTGCTGCCAAGCCTGGATTACACAATGTTGGGGGCTTCATGCATGCTAGGCAAGCACTCTACCAACTGAGATATATTCCTGGCTCCTGGATATTTTATCACACTGCTAATTAAACTGAGTCACAGAAGACATCAAGGAAGAAATTAGAGGGTATTTGGAACTGAAAGAAAATAAAAATATATAATAATGATATGCAGTTAGAAAAGCGTGTAACAAGAAATTTATAGCAAAAATCCACCTTTCTCAAAGAAGTTTCCAAGATTAAGAGCTTTCACTTAAGAGCTGATTCAAATAAGAAGGAAATAACAGAGTGGTACACAAACCAATAATAGGAAGCAGAGAAAAGAAAAACAGTGAATCTCCAAAATGATTCTTTGAAAAGTTCAATAAAATGAATAAACCTCTATGAGCCCAATAAGACAACAAGGGAAGCTACATTTACCACTTTCAAGAATAAGGGAGTCTGTTTATACCCACTTGACAGCCATACTAGAAGACAAGGCCAGTGAGACGGCTCAGTGGGTAAAAGTGCTTGTTGGGCAAGCCTGGTGGCTTGAGTTCAATCCCGAGAACCTAAGTAATAAAGCCAGATGGTGGTGGTGCACCTGTAATCTCTACACTGCTACAGCAGGCTGGAGGCAGAGATCGCATGACCTGGAACAGACACCTAGCCTGGAGTATACAGCTTGACAGAAACAAGGTGGAGGGAGAGAACAGTCTTCTGAAAGTTGTCCTTTGACCTCCACAGGTATGCTATAGTACATGTGTGTGTACAGCCACATATATACATAACACATACATAACACACACACAGACTGATAATAAATAGCAAGTGTTGGGGGAGCTATAACCCTTACACACTGCTGGCAGGAATGCAAGTAGGTATTATTGTTATGGAACAGTCTGGTAGGTCTTCAAAAGGTTTAACGCACTGTCATACATACAACACAGTGATACTCATAGGCACATATGTGAGAGAAATAAAGTGTGTTTACTGAAAATCTTAAGCATGTACATTTGCAACTGCATTACTGATAAGGGCCAATGAGTGGACACAAACAAATGTTTACCAGTGAATAAGTGGATAAACAAAATGTGGTATTATCCATACAACGGATATTAAATGTTATTCAGCTATAAAACAGGAAGTGCACTGTTCAGACATAAAAAGATGAAGATGCTATAGAATGGATGAACTTTAACAAGACTCTGCTAAGTCAGTGACACCAGCCACGAAGGCCATAAATATATGATTCCATTCACATAGAATGCCCAGTAGAGGGAAACCTAGACAGAAAATAGTTGTGCTTGCCTGAGGCTTGGGGGTGGGTGTGGGGTAGAGCTGGGAGAGAACTGCTGAGGAACTGTAGTAAATGCAGTTTCTCTTGAGTTTAATAAAAATGTTCAACAACTGACTGTGGTAACGGTTATGGTTTGGTGAAAATTTACTTATTTGAGAAAGGATTTCCCTGTAGCTACAGCTGGCCTAGAACTCACTACAGAGAGCAGGCTGGTCAATCTTTGGTGAAAATGTTTAAAAGCTGACTGTGATAATACTTGCACTATTCTGTGAAAATACCAAGAACCACTGAATTGTGCTGCACATGCATGGCAACCTGAGCTCAATCATCACAACCCATGTAAAGGTGGAAGGAAAGGATCGATTCCACAAAGTTGTCCTTTGACCTGCTTATGTGTGCATACACACTAATAATAATAATAATAATAGTAATAATACTGTTAAACATGCATCTGCTATATGAATCACATGTTCCATTCTTAAGTGTTTATCCAAGAGAGAAGAGAGCACATGTCTACAAGCAGACTTGTATTCGTGTGTTCACACGAGCTTTATATGCAATATCACAACTGGAAACAACCAAATAGCCCCGACCAGCATGGATTTGCAAACTGTGATACATTTATACCATGAAATACTACTGTGATAAAAAGTAACAAATTATTGATATACACAATAACATGGATGAAACTTCAACAGTACTAAGTAAAAAAGAAAAAAACAAAAGGACCAGAAGGATACATACTGTCGGGTTACCTTTCTACAAATGTCTAGGAAATAAAACTAATACACAGTGACAGAAAGCAGGCTAGCTGCTGCCTCAGGACTGGAGATATGAGGGAAGTATTATAAGGGGAGCAAGGAAACTTGGCCATGATGGGTGGGCAGGTTCTTCATCTGAACTGAATAATGGCTGCTGCACAAATATACATGTATGTCAAAACCTACCACACTGTACTATATATACAGCTTGTTGCATGTCAATTATAACCCTAAAAAGCTGTTACATGTGACATGCTGCCCTGGAGGCTGCATGTCCAGAAGGATCTTTCAGCGCTTTGGTTATCTGAATACGGAACCTTCACTCACTCTCACAGGGTGAGTCAAGATTTTAAAATGTCATATGAGCAATACTGACTTCAATTTATTATAACATTAGTGCTATTAAATTCAAAATTCCCATTTATCCACACTGATCAAAATTAGCTAACCAACTGACAAAGCTGCTCTTTGTGCAAACAGAGCCCCGGCAGGGAAGTCGCCAAACCAGAATGGCAAATCAGCCTTTTCTATGACCATTTGGAAATTCATGGATACCTACAGCAGAGTCAGAGGTAAAAAGAAACCAATCCTAATTCCTTATATGTGAGTATATATTCTATGTAACAGCAGGAGCCAGGAAAATGGGAAGGGAGCATGGAGGTAAAGGGAAAGAAAGCGCCTGAAAGAGGGGGATAGCAGGAAACAGATGTTACCAAGGAGGAAATGGGGAAAATGGGGCATTCAACTGGGAAAGGAGGGAAGGACATACATGGAACCACGGGGGTAAAGAGGAAGAAGGGACTCAAGAGAGGGGAGATAATAGGAGACAGGTATTATCAAGGGGAAAATGGGGCACTTAAGCTGGGGAGGGAGGAAGGAGGAGGGAGTGGGAGGAGGAGAGGAGGGGATGGGGAGGGGGAGAGGGAGATAAAGTTGAGGTGGTATAAAAAGCCAGTGGGAAATGTATTAATTCAACCCCCCCCTCCCAAAAAATACACATATAATATCTGAACAAAAGTGCATGTGTATACCTGAAGGCTCTATAACAAGGAACAGAGTGCCAGACAGGAGAAACCTCCCTTTGAGTTGTTGGTCATGGTAGTCCAAGAGACTCCCAAAATAACACAGGCTATTGCCTCCCAGAACTTGAAGACTCTATTGCTGAAGATAGGACATACTTTGGACATAGGACTTGGAGCAAGGGATCTGGAAACAAACTGAAATCCTCTCTGAAGACTAGCTCTCATAGTTGCAGAGGATACCATGCAAGCTGCTAAGGGAGAAAATCAATGGTCCAACTCAGCTCCAAAGCCTAATAACCACAACTGGCACAGTAAACTATCTCTACTGGTGCACTGTTATCTAGAGGGTAATCAACAGCTATCTAATTGGACTTAAAGTCCTCTCAATGGGAGCGAACTTATGGGTAGCAATGTAAATATAGCCAAATAACATAAACATGGCTGGAGAGGTCACAGATCCTAGAGAAAACCCTATCTCTGTCATGTCTCTAGACAAATGAAATTTGTTACTGTGTGCTAAATATTGATCCTTATATTTACAGACAAGTATACCATACTCCACTCATCAAAGAAGCTTCTTTTTGCAACAGATAGAGGCTACTATAGAGTTCCACAACTGGTCACACACAGAGACTATATCTGAGAGATGCCCAATCCTAAATGACACATCTACAGTAGAACCTCTATGCCCAAAGCTCACAGAACATAGCAGAACTCAGTTCTCACCAGTGAAGCTTCCTCATACAATAGAGTGAAATGCACACAGAAGGCTACAAATATCTAAGTTTTAGAGAATAAAAGCCTGCAGAGTATGTGTCCCTGGTTAGAACTCCTATGAAACCTCACCCACCCATGGCTCAGGGACCATTTCAGAAGAGGGGGCAAAAAGATTGTAAGAGCCAGGGTTGGTGCATGAACATAAAGAAACAAGCTTTTAGGTCACTGGGAATTTGCTCATATGAACTTACAGTAATGGTGACAGCCTGCCCAAGACCCATGCTGACTCATCAGACAGAAACCCACATAGAATGAGAGAAATGGGCAGCAGGCCACAACCCCAGTCAAGGAACTATTGGCAACTGATCACTGCTGGGTGAGTGATAGATCTTCTTTAAGGGAGAGACTCTATATAGGCTGACTAGACTCCAGTGGATAAACTTGCACTGAGGGACATCTGGGTACAAATGCTTGACTGGAAAGGACTTAACATATATGACAGAATGTATGAACTCTGGTAGGGGGGATCTGGGGGGCACGGATGGGGGAAGGGTCTAAATTTGATTAAGATGTATTATATGAGATGCACAAAAACTCAATAAAACATTTTAAAGAAAAGAGAGACCAATGCACTTCAAACACACAGAACAAGACACTGAGGTAGAACTATAGGAGAACGAGGGAGGCAAGTGCAGGAGACAACGGCTATCAGCACAAGCACACTCTAGAATGTATTTTGGACTTAAGCTTCAGGGTGCACATTATAAAAAGTGACAAGTGGCTTGTAGTCTGAGTTGAAAGTTGGAGTTCGGGTGAAATATTGTCAGGTACTAACAAGCATTTGGGAAAACAGCATACAACAAACTTTACAATAAACCTACAGGAGCTGGAGTGATGGCTCAGTGGCTAAGAGCACTGGCAGTAGTGGCTCCTGCAGAGGACCTGGGTTCAGTTCCCAGCATCCACATGGCTAACAACTGCCTGGACCTCCAGTTCCAGGGGATCCCATGCCCTCTTCTGGCCTCTGTGAGCACTGCATGCATGTGATACACTTACATACATGCAGGCAACACATACATAAAGATGAATAATAAAACCCCCCACTTACTTCATAATACAAGTTTTTATTAATGGTTTCTGAGAGAAGCAAAGTGCAACTCTCTTTTCTATGTCCTCTAAAGGGGAAAACGGGACCCCTGGAAGTGTGACAAGATGAACTTAATGTATCAATCAAGTCCATCAAATGCCAGCCATACCCAGGAAAATCACTGAACTCTGGCCGTTTAAAAACACTGTCAGTTGGGCTGGACAGATGGCTCAGCAGTTAAGAGCACTGGTTGCTCTTGCAGAGGACCCAGGTTTGAATCCCAGTATCCACATGGCAGCTAACAACCATCCTTAACCCTAGTTCCAGGGAGCCAACACCCTCTTTTGAGCTCCTCGGGGATTGCACAACACAGGCATATATATATACATGCAGGCAATACACTCATACACATAAACAACAACAACAACAACAATAAAAACCCATGGTTGGCGGGGAGATGGCTCAGTGAAGAAAGGTGCTTGCTGCACTGATGACCTGAGTTTGATCCCTAGAGCCCCTCCCCTCCACAGAACAAAAAGCTGGATGCTATAGCCTACATCTGTAATCTCAGCACTTGGCTGACAAAATGTGGGTGGGTCACAGAGCTGCCTGAAGCTTGTGGGTCAGCCAGCCTGAGTACACAGCACGGCAGAAAGGAGACAGACCCTGACTCAACAAGGTGGAAGGAGAGAACTGAGTTCTGAAATTGTCCTCTGACTGCCACATGCATACTTTTACACACTCACACACCATACATCCACAATAACAATACATAAAAATCAATAAAACACAACATACGTACCATGAAAATTTTCCAAACACAGTAAATAGAGAAAAAGTAACCCAGGAAATTAAAATATTTTCCCTTGAAAGTTTTGGAGTATTCAATTCTCTCCTGAGGTAAAAAAAACAAAAAAAACATGGTTAGTCTTAGCAAAACATAAACTTTTTAAATTCATTTTTTTAAGTTTTTGAGACAGGGTCTCCCTGTAGCCCCAGCTGGCATGGAACTCACTATGTAGACCAGGCTGGCCTCAATCTCACAGAGATCCACCTGCCTCTGCCTCTTGAGTGCTGAGATTAAAGGCATGTGCCACCACATTCAGCTTAAAATGTAAACATTTTTAATAGAAGTATTCTTCCTCTACCATCCAGGCAGACTCAGTAAAACTCACATAGTAATAACATTAGAGGAATGGTAGGGGCTGGAGATGTTCAGTGGTTAAGAGTGCATACGGCTCTTGCAGAGGACCCATGTTTGGTTCCCAACATCAACCAGTGGTTAAGAGTTGGTTAAGAGTGCATACGGCTCTTGCAGAGGGCCCATATTTAGTTCCCAACACCGATGTATGGTGGCTTACAACCACCTGTAACTCCAGCTCCAGGAGATCTGACACCCTCCTCTGGCCTCCACAGCCACCTGCACTCATGTGTACATACCCTCCCCCATATGTATATAATTAAAAATAAAGTCTTTTAAAAAAAGAATGGTACTAGGGGTCATTTATTGAGTGCTTATTTTAAACCAGAGCCCAAAGCAACCTTCTTACATGAGCTACCTACTTTAATTTTTCACAACAGCCCTTTATAAGTATGCTCTATAACTAAATTTGCAGATGAGAAAACTGCATCTTATGGAGATTAAATAACTTGTTCAGGGTCATGCAGCTGGTGAGTGGGTTCAGGGCCCCCTTTATAGCTACCTTTGTGATGTTACCCTCAAAAGATTGGTTTGCAATCTTAAGAGACTTTGTGTATTTAAATTATATTGTGCTTTAGGTGTGCATAGCAAAGTTACTGATTAGTCAGGGCACTTCTTGCTCTGAGTTCTTTAGAACAAGCTAGACCATCGCAGATAGGCAGCTACCAAGCTTGTAATATGGCTAATTTGTAAACCAGAAGTGACTGTCTTTATTTCAGGTCAGAAGGAAGTAGTGTTGGTCAGTTTCCTACATGCTGAAAAGCCTCTTCTATCTCTTCAATTTTTTTTTTAATGTGTATGAGTGTTTTGCCTGCATGTATACAATGCTTGTGGAAACTAGAAAAAGGTGTCAAATCCTCCAGAACTGGAGTTAAGGACAGTTGTTAGCCACTATGTGGGTGCTGGGAACTGAACCCAGGTCCTCTGCAAAAGCAGTCAATGCTTTTAACTGCTGAGCCATTTCTCTAATCCTCATTATTATGAGTGTTCCAGAAAGGACTTTGCCAGTGACAGGAGTGATTCCACAAAGAGTAATCCCTCATTCCTAATGCCTTGCAGCTTGTTCAGAAGCTCTGAGGTATCTCTTGCATTGCCTGGTCACCGAGGACTCTGAAAAGCTATTTGGTCTTGTTATCTTTTCAACTATGTTAAAACCATAGCTCTGCTTCCTGGCTCTGTACCTTAGTAGCATATAGATCGGCTGTTTCCAGAAAAAGTTGTCTGCTTAGTTCTTCCAAAGCATCCACTTCCTGTTGAATAAGAGTAAGATCTGGTAGAAAATGGGGATCAAGGTTTAAATCACATAGAAGTTTTAAAAAATAGCAATAAGAAAGTATTTGTTTTGGGTTTCTTCTACAGAGCAGATCCCAGGAGCTGCCTGAGCTTCACTTGTGCTCCTCCATCAGGAGCACTTCTCAAAGCGCTTCCCCGTCTTTGCAAATATCTGCCACAGATTTCTCAGACAGAAGCTTTAGCATGCTTGTAGTTTGCTTTCTTTATTAAGTTAAACCAAATGCAACAATTCTCAAGGCTTTAAATGGCATTTAATAAGATCTACAATAAATCATAGTGTCATAGTATCTGAAGAATACCATGTTGGGAAAGGGTACTACTAAAGTATTTACTGAGTTTCAACTAGATGGGGGTACTGCCTTCTTTAGCTCTTTACTATCATCTTTTACTCTCCCACAATCCCAGAAGACGGTTGTTACCCATTTTGCATACAGGAAGGAAGCTTAGAGAGTTAAATAACTTGTTGAAAGTCACATAACTAATTGGGTGTGATGTAAAGTGGGATCTGCCTTACTCCACACGGGCCTGTTCTTTCCACTAAGCAATGCTATTTTCCAAGAACTCAGTGAGTTACTTCATTACTCTCCTTGTTATAGACATGAGTTCAGAGCGTAGGTGTTTTTATGATGTATTTTATTTATTTTAATTTTATGTGTATGCGTGTATTGCCTGCATCTAGGTAAGTGCACCCATGTCATGCAATGCCTGCAGAAGTCAGAAGAGGCTGTCAGATCCCCTGGGACTGGAATCACGGACAGTTAGCTGCCATGTGGGTGTTGGGATTTGAACCCGGGTCTTCTGCAAGAACAGTGTTCTTAACTGCTGAGTCATCTCTCCAGCCCCCTGTGATGTATTTCTTAAACCTATGCTTTGGCTTTTATTGGTTTCAAAATAATAAAAATAATAAGAACCTCTTCTACTTTAATCCAAATCTTCCTTCCACTGTGACTTTCCCACTGTTACCCAAATCAGCAAGTATCCTTCAGGTCCTCCCTCAACAGTGGCTGCTATTACCAAGACCCAGGACACTCAGCATCAGGGTGTAACTCTGTAGGTGTGTGTCTTCCACAAGCAGTCAACAAGCTCATTCTACCACTTAGCACTCGGCCAGAAAATAGGAGACACAACACTAGGTTCCTTGATTAATCATTTTTCCTTTTCTGCCATAAGCACCCTGGATTTGTCTTATTCTTCTCTGCATGTGACACCAGAATGACTTCATAATCTATAGCAATGCTCTACATCCTTCAACTGGCTTACCTGGGCCTTGTAGTCCTGACCTGACAGTCTCGGGGTCACATACAGATCTGGTTACCCAGATTTGGGAATTAGTCAACTCCAGAACCAGCAGTATGTATTTTTCTATCTCTTAGATAAATATAAATGGAGATAAGTTTTTTCTTTCTGTCTTTTTTGGACAGGGTCTCCTTTAGCCCCAGCTGGCCTCAATCTCACAGAAATCCACCTGCCTCTGCCTCCCAAGTGCTGGGATTAAAGATGTGTACCACATCTGGCTTCCACCTTTTTTTTTTTTAAACCAAAAAGTTATAGATACAGAACCACTTGAAACCTGTGCATGTTAACAGGGTTAGAAATGGGCCCTTGCCACTGCATATATGAACCACACATTTCAGGGTGCCATTATGCTTTCTGGTTTCATAGAGATGGGAAACAGAACAGTGTAATGGGAAGAACTGTGATGCAGAGACCACAGTTCTGGTCCTACATGTGCCACAAACCAGCCTGACTAACCTCTCTGGTCTGTGTTCTGATCTGTAAAGGGGAAAGAATGACCTTTCAGGTCCCCTCCAACTCAGAGACAATGGTTTGTTATTATGTATGGGGCTAGATAGATGAGTGTACCTACAGTGCTTCCTAAGCCCAGCCTGGGCCAGCCTGGACGCTGATGTAGTAGTCATGTACTCTAGAAGGGACCAACCAAATACTATTTTTTCTTTTGCCTTTGGTTCAGAGTGGAGAAAAAGAATCAGGCAGAGGAAGAAAGGATACTTTCACTTCCTGGAGCTGATGTCCTAACGCTCTTTATCATGCCCCAGAATCTTGATGGCCTGTTATGCACTTCTCCCTTCTGGAACATGACTCTCCGTGCAATTGCCATCCTGAAAAAGAAAACATAAGTCTGAGCAAGGAAATGTGACCCCCCGCAGCCCGCTTTCCCCTACTTCCCAGTCTCACAGCTGACTCTGAAGTTCCACTGGAGAGCACAGTGATGTGGCCAGGAAAGGAGCTGGGAATGTGGCAGTAGGCATACATCTAGGGACTGGCTCTGCTACTTAGAAGCTATGAAACCTATGGTTTCACTTCCTCACTTCTGGATGGTTGTAAAAATTAATGAAATAACCTAAGAAGTCACATTGTTAACTTCAAAGTACTACACACAAATAGTTAGAATTTAAGGAGAAAATAAAATAGCTAAGAAAGCTGGATAAAGGGATCAGGTGCAGAGGAGGAACTCAATAAAAAGCATCTAAAAAGGAAAAAACCCACATAATTAGGACCTCTTAACTCACTGCAGACCACCCCGTTCCATGACTGCAGCCTGTCCCACTGCTGGATAAAGTGACAGAAACGCCAGTCCTTCCTCTCCTCTGCTGCAGAGGATTCAGTGGCAGCTGCTGGCATGGTCCAGTCCATCACAAATGTATGAAAAACAAGGTCCTCGTGAGGTTAAAAAGCATACAAATGATTATTTGAAGGGTGTAATGGGGCAAACTCCATAGGCCTAAAATGAACCAGGCTGGGTCTAGTGGTGATAGGAGAGTGGAACCACAGAAAAACTTAAGGTGAACATTTTTGGGTGACAAGATGAAAATAATGAGGAAGCAGTGACATTGGAATTTGTGTCTGGGATTGATAGGAAGAGCACCTATGGAATCAAATACCAGATGGTATTCTATGGGCTAAAAATGTAAAGAATCAGCTAAAAGGACATTCACAATAAAGATTGTTAGACGTGTCACCGTGGTGACTTAAACTGTTTCCCCTCAGAATTACCTTTGCCTAGATACTGAATGAATGAAACACGGCTCCAAGTGTGTTTTCTGTCTTTCCTTACAAACATTCCCTGGAACTTGGCAAGTTGGGAAGATGTATAAGGAAATAAGAAAAGGCTCAGATAATAGCAGCCTTAAGACTCAGTCATGTTTTAATGAGACTGCTGAACGGGTATGTGAAGAGGTTCTGTTCTCATTGTATGCTTTGGCTTAACAAGCGGGCTTAAAGGAGAGGCAGTTGGAAGAGGGAGGCTGAAGGCCATTTCTAGTCCTGTCAGTCTTTTAGCTCCGACAATCACTGGAGGCTGTGGTATTGACCTAGCTATACAGGTAAAGGTGCGTGCACTGGGCAGTGACGGCTCAACAGACAAGAAATGGAATGTGCAGAAGTGAAAGTTGGCTACACAGACAAGCATGACATCATTTGAAACAGTTCACTTTCACTTTTGATTTTAATTACCTAATTTTATTTAAAAAAAAAAATTTAATTTTATGTGTATGAGTGTATTGCCTGCATGTATGTGAGTGTACCGTGTCGTGCAATGCCGCAGAGGTCAAAAGAGGGCTTCGGATTCCCCTGGAACTGGAGTTAAGGATGGTTCTAGCCGCCATGTAGGTGCTGGGAATCGAACCCGGGTCCTCTGCAAAAGCAGTCAGTGCTCTTAACCGCTGAGCCATCTCTCCAGCCCCTAAATACCTAATTTTAAATCAATTTTGCTCTTATTAAATAAGCTGTAGATAAAAATAAATCTATATACATAAGAACAAAAGGTACCATCAAACTTTCTGAGATGTGTTTTTTTTTAAATTTTTAAATTTTATTTTATGTGTATGTGTGTATTACCTGAAGTGAGTGTACCCATGTTGTGCAATGCCCGCAGAGGTCAGAAGAGGCTGTTGGATCCCCTGGGACTGGAGTTATGGACAGTTGTTAGCTGCCATGTGGGTGCTGGGATTCAAACCCTGGTCTTCTGTAAGAACAACCAGTGTTCTTAACCGCTGAGCCATCTCTCCAGCCCCTGAGCTGTGGTTTTAAAATGTATGAAAACAAGGCCAGGTGCATGCCTTTAATCCCAGCACTCAGAGGCAGAGGCAGGCAGGTGGATCTCTATGAGTTCAAGGCCAGCCTGGTCTACATAGTGAGTTCCAGGCCAGCTGGGGCTACAGGAAGACCCTGAATGAAAACAAATACCATAGCATAGAAGTAGACACTTTTATCTTTAACTTTCTTCAGCATCTCAATGTCATTATCACTGCTGTCTTTTCTTAACAAGGCTGTTTCACAATAAGAAATGATTTGTTCATGACTGGAGGCCATTAAAAAATTCAAAATACGAAAGCAGAAGAAGCACCTGACTGAGTGGAAGCATCACTGGAGGAAGCTGAAAATGGCTCTAAATAAGTTCTACTGTTTTCTGGTTCTCATTTCTGGGTTCAGCCATTTCTTTTCTTTTTAACTTAAAACTTAAAAAAGGGGACGGTGGTGGTGGAGAAATGGCTCTGCAGTTAACAGCACTGGCTGTTCTTGCAGAGGACCCAGGTTCAGATCCCAGCATTTACATGGCAGCTAACAAGTGTCCATAACCCCAGTTCCAGGGGATCTGACAACCCTCTTCTGGTCTCTGTGGGCACTGCATGACATGGGTGCACTTACATGCAGGCAAAACACTCGCACACAAAAAATAAAAATAAAAAAAAATTTTATTTGTGTATGTGCATGATATGTGGGTGGGTGTGTTTGCTACATCATGTGTGTGGAGGTGAGAGGACAACTTTCAGGAGTTGGTTTTCTCCTTCTACCACCTGAGTTCCGGGGATGGAACTCAGGTCTCCAGGATTGGTGGCAAGAACCTTTATCCACTGAGCCATTTCACTAGCCCATAAGAACTTTGAATTTTGAGCTAACTGTACATTCACATATGTTTTTAAGAAGTATAGAGATTCCATGCATCCTCTGCACACATTTCCAGTGCTATAAGATATTGACATTGAAATAGTCATGATACAGTACCTCTCTATCACGCCGAAGAGACTTCCGTTTTTTTTCTTGGATAGCCCACATCTCTCCCACCATCAATTGCTCAACCTCTGACAACCACTAATTGGTCTTCTATTTCTATAAATTTTCCATTAAAACTGTGTGTACAGTTAGGATTAAACAGTATGTATCCTTTGGCAAATGGTCTTCTTTCTACTAAGTAAAAAATTCCATTCAGTTTTTTCGTGTTGTTCTGTGCATTGGTAGTGTGTTCATTTTTATTGTTAAGTAGTATTCCACAGTATGGCTGTACTACAATGTGTCTGACCATTCACTCATTAAGGCTATCTGGGTTACCTCTAGTTTTGGGGCTACTATGAATAAAGCTGTTGTATCCATTTTTGTATGATCATAGAATTTCATTTCTTGGTATAAATGCCCAGAAGTTCAATTTCTGGAGTCAGTTATTGGCATATTTAGTTCTTTTAAAAGAGCTAAACTGTGTTCCAGTTACTTAATAGCCTATGTGCTCAATGGTAATGCATGTGTGGTTCAGTTTTCTGCATTCTTATTAGTATTTTGTGTAGTCACCAGTCTAAAAAAAAATTATGGGTACACGTGTGTCTGTGTGTAGGTAGAAGAAGGTGTCAAAGTCCTCAGAGCTGGAGTTATAGGTAGCTGTGAACAGCTGTGGAAGCTAGGACTTGAACTTGGGTTCGCTGTAAGAGCAGTACTTGCTCCTAACCTCTGAGCCATTTCTCCAGGCCATTGTTACTACTGATGTTAGTCATTTTAAATGTACAGTAACTTTACTGTGACTCTAACTGCATGTCCTTAATGTCTACTGTTGAATATTTTTTTCATATACGTGAATGCCATCCAAATGATTTTTTGCCCACATTCTAAATTGTAGTTCTTTTTAAAGAGTTTTTGGAAGTTTCTTCTTTTTTCCTTTTTTAAAATTTTATTTTTAATTATGTGCATATATGCATGTCTGTGTATAGGTATGTGCATGTGTGTTTGGGTGCCCAAGGAGGCCAGAAACATTGGATCTCCCAGGAGCTAAAGTTACAGGTAGTTGTGAGCTGCCTGACATGGGTACTGGGAATCAAACTTAGGTTCTCTAGAAAAACAGTACGTGCTCTTAACCACTAAGCCATATTTCTAGTCCCCTCTTTTTGTTTTTTTAAAGTCTAGATGTGGGACTGGAGAGATGGTTCAGCAGTTAAAGAGCACCAGGTTTGGGTTCCAGCTCCCACATGGCAGCTGGCCACTGTCCTTAACAGGTTATCTGATGCCCTCTTCTGACTTCCACAGGCATTGCATGTATGTGGTGCACTTATATAACAAGCAAGCAAAACACACATTAAAAAAAAAAATTAGGGGTCTAGATGCTAATCTTGTCTTAGATACGTGGTTTGCATGTATTTTCTCCCTGTCAGTGGCTTATCTTTTCATCTTTTTCTCAAGGTCCTTCACAAAGCAACTATTTTTAATTTTGATGGAGTTCAGTTTATCAATATTTCTTTTTATGGACTTTATTTTGGGGATTAAGTAAAAGAATTTTTGCCTGGCTCTAGATCTCAGATTTTTTTCCCTATAAGTTTTACACCTCACATTTAAGTTCAATATTTACCTTGAATTCATCTTTCTATATATTTTGAAACTTAGATATGGATTTTTATTGAGAATTTCATAGTGTTTTTTATCATATTCACCTCCAACTCCTCTCCATTACTCCTCCCAGATCCATTGGGAGCACAGTTCCCTGAAAGATCAGAAAGCAAGAATTCTGGGGATTCAGGTCCACTCTTGGCTACTGAAACTGATGCTGATTCTTATTCAAATATAGCGATGATGTGGCTTAGAAACTCTGCACTCTACTATTGTTTCAAAGCAGCTATGGCTGGTGCTGAAATTTCACTACTCAGTGCATTTTGTCCCCTCCTGATCAATTTTAAAAGAGGGCTGGCAAAACCTAACTTAGGGTTAATAATTTTCTTCCAGTATGACAAGTGAGAAGAGATTCCTCCTCCCACCTGGTATTGTCACTTTTTTGAATGGTACTCTTCGTGTACATCACTTTGCTATGGTCCTCTACAGTTGAAGCAAATTATGAGTAATTGCCAAAATGTTGTTCAATATTGCTAAGTGGGAAGGACCCCAGTGCTGTTGTGTTAGCTATCTATATACCCTGTTAGCTCTACTGGGAGAAGGGCTTTGCTAATCAAGAAGGCTAATTCTTCTGAGAGCCTCTCAAATTACTAATGAATCTTACAGGACCATAACTACCCTAACTGGACATGGTCTTATGGAGGATTTGGGCTATAGAGAAATGTGTATGGGCCAGAGTCTCTCTCTCTCTTCTCTCTCTTCTTTCTCTCTCCTCTCTCTCTGTCTCTCCCTCCCTCCCTCCATCCCCAGCTGTCCTGGAACTCACTATATAGACCACGCTGGCCTCCAACTCACAGAGATCTGCCTGCCTCTGCCTCTCAAGTGACCATGCCCAGTTGTGAGTTATCTTTTTAATGTATAAAATAAATACTATAAAAGGAAGAATAACACTGGGAACCAAAGTAGTATTCCTACATAAGTATCTTTCACCATTGAGTAATCGTCCTTTATTGTTATAATTTTTAGAAACTTAAGTTTATTTACATTCATGTAAAATACACTATGCAGACTATAAATAAAATATATGTAAGCAACATAAATGCATACTTATATGTCTACCTTTAATACTTCAGTACAAATGGACATGGATAATTGGTAAATTGAAGCCTCTTTATCATTCTAATGTCTACTGCTGTCTCATACATTAAGGTTTCTTTGACTGGACTATGGATCAAACTATAGAAATGTGTAGTAGAAGGGAATAGGAAGTGCAAATATACTTGTGCAATTTGAAACTCTCATTGCCTTTTATATATGAAAAATTCTAACTTTAATCAAGACAGTAGACTAATGAGTTTCATTAGTGTAACAAATGACTGTTTTTTTAAATCATTCTATCCCCATCGCCTAGAACAGTGTCTGGCAGAGACTAGGTTTTCTAAAATGAAATGAATGAGTCTACGAAGACAAAATATGAAAACCAAATGATTATCCTCATGATTATTAGTAAGTTGGGTAAGCTGTCTTTAGGTACAACTCACTGTTCTAAGGGATGTACAAGTCTAACACATTATCATCTCCTTTTCTGGGGTACAGAATAAATATTATAAAATTTCTATATAAGTATCTCTGTGTACACAGAGTGATCAACAAGTTAAGCTGATGAAGATAGCTTTCACCTCTTTCTAATATCTGTCAAATTAACCTTTATGTGCTTATTAAAGACATTATGTAATAGATGCTAATTTAAAATGACATTATTTTGAGGCTTAAAAATTCTTACTAGTCTGTTATCATATTTAAAAAAATATGGTAAATTTTTTAAATTAAAAAAAAAATTAAAAATCAAGGCACAGAGACATTAAGTACCCACTTCAAGGTCACGCTGTAAGGTGTAGGCCAAGGTTTCAAATGCAGACAGCTCATTTCAGAGTGCTATGCTTTTGCTTATTGTGACATGGATTTATATAGAATGCATTTTGGAAACATCTATTTTAGAAGTACTTTTTGGGAGGACAGCTAGATGGCTCAGCAGATAAAGGTACTTGTTGCCATGCCTGATCACCGGAATTCAATCCCTAGACACATGGTAGAAAGAGCTGACTTGACATGCATGCTGTGGCTCTCATATACCCATATACAAGTACACACACACAAGTAAATAATGTAATGAAAAATATTTGTAAAGTACATTTTTTGATAATTTTTATGTAGCTGTTTTTCTGGATTGAAATATCCTGTGCTGGAAGCTTCAGTTGTCAACTTGACAAACCTGGGAAGAGGGAACCTCAACTGAGGCATTGCTTCTGTTGGATTAGCTTGTGAGAGGCATTTACTTAATTGCTAATTGATGTGGGAGGGCCCAGCCCATTGTGGGTGGTGCCACCCCCTACAGTGTTCCTCTGCAGTCTGCTCCATGCTTCAGTTCTATCCTCAGATCTCTGCCTTGAGCTCCTGCCTAACATCCCTCAGTGTTGGATTGTGACCTGAGAGCTGTAAGTGGAAATAAACTCTTTTCTTCTCAAGTTGTTTTTGTAAATGTTTTATCAGAGTAAGAGAATGCTAACTAGAACACATTCCATTGTGGAGGGAAGGAGAGTGCTCAGAACTTTAAGAAACTCACAAGATACAAGACTCTGCTGGAGGCAGGTGTGTGCCTGGGTAAGTTCTTCAGTAATGGAGCTGCCTACAAATTGGGAAACCAGTGTTGAAGCTTTCATGAGTTGTAACCCACGTTGGGGTGGGCTTTTTAGTGATGTAACTGCTAGAGTCACCCATGCTTTTATAAGGAATCCATCTCATAGGTTGACCAAGTTGGACTTTGATGGAATTTCTTTACTTTGTCTGACATAGACAGAAACAAACTCCCAGGAAAAATATTTGAACAGTAATACAGACACAATGCCTATAAGACTTAAAGGTTCTTAAGTAGCTGGAGAAATAGAAGTTGAAAAGATCTAAGTCAAGCACGGAAAGGTTTTAAAAATGTAAGAAAACAACCTTAAAATATTCACCCTTGTCCTCTGTATACTGACATTAAATAAATGTGGGAAAGATCAATGAAAACAACAAAAAAAATTCTACCCTTCAAATATAAAACTTATTCGAACAATTTATCTAAAGAGAAATGCTAAGATTCAGAAAGCTGAATTTGAGAGCTTTTTTTCCTCTAAGACTGGACAATAGTAAATCTTTGGTGGCACCTTATTCTATAATAAAACTGAGTAAGTAGATGTTTCATGCCAGCACCAATTCACCGTCACTTTACTACGGAGCCATTTCATCAGGGTGCATAGTGTTCAAAGTGCTGACCTCACCTTTTCTTTTTGCTTATGATCATATCCATGGTTTGGAGAAGTCGTCGTTCCAGGGCGAGGATATCAGTGTCAGTCACATTCCTATAATAAGCACAAACTGTTGGCAATGTTTTTGGGTTCCACTCTTGGGCATAATGCAAGCCAATATGATAAAACATAAACCCCAGCTGTTACCCCAAAATTCAGGGATCAGCCTTTCTAGAAAATATTAAAATGGCTCTATTAGGCTAAGCTGCCTGGATTGTCATTTCTTACAGCAAATTCATCTGGTGTCCCAGGGCAGCAGAAGGGACCTCATGACCTCACAGTCATTCTCAGCTTTGACCCTATGCTTATTTGGCACCGTTTCCTACTGCTGTACTTTGAGGAGGAGCCGAATGGCTGAGGTTAGGAGTCACTCATATTGCTGTCCATGAAAAATATGCCTTTAAGAACTGTGCATGAACAAGGCGTGGTGGTGCATGGCTTTAATCCTAGGACTTGGGATTTCTGTGAGATAGAGTCCAGCCTGGTCTATAAAGCGAGTTCCAGGCCAGCTGTGGCTACAGGGAGACCCTATCTCAAAAAGACCAAACAAACAAACAAAAAAGAAAATCCACGACCCGCCCCCCAATCCCAAAAAACCTGTGTGAAGGCTGGAGGGGTGACTCAGTGGTTAAGAGTACTGGCTGCTCTTACAGAGGACCTGGGTTCAATTCTTAGCACCCACATGGCAGCTAACAACCCTCTGTAACTTTAGTTCCAGGGAATCCGAATTCCTCTTCTGACTTCCATGGGCATTGCACAACATGGGTGCACTTATATACATACAGGTTCTCCCATAGACATGAAATTAAACAAAACAAAACTGTATGTGGGCAAGAGATATGTTACTTAAAAATAAAAGAGTCACATGTGGTGGCACATGCTTATCATCCCAAGAGGTGGAAGCAAGAATTTAAGGCTAACCTGAGCTACATAGTGAGATGTTGTCTGAAAAAGAAGTGTGTGTGTGTGTGTGTATGTGTGTGTGTGTGTGTGTGTAAAATGGGAGTGATGGCTTAGCTGTTAAGAGTACTAGCTACTCTTGCAGTGGACCCAGGTTTGGTTCCTAGGACCTATATGGCAGGTCACACCCTCTGTAACTCCAGTTCCAGGGAATCCAATGCCCTCTTCTGGCCTCTTTGGGAATTGCAGGCACATGGTGCACTTTACATACATGCAGGCAAAACAGTATAAACAAAAAACAAAAATAAATTTTAAAAAAGACGTATTTAGGAAGATTATAGGTCAACGCCCACAGGTACAGAGGAAGAGAATAACAAAAAGATACTGTCATAGCTGGAGTATGCAAATACTAAAGCTGTAGTGTAAGGCATACACATTCAAATAACGGGGAAAAAGAAAAGAGACAAACGTTACCTGAGGAAGTAGGACATGTATGTGTATGGACAGTTGACAGCACCAAATCCAGAAAGCAGAGCCATGAATGTCACCCCAATCACACCTACCCGGCTGATGAGCTGTTCTATGGACAAGATCCCTACAAAATCAATGCAGATAGAATGGTGTTGATCTGTGCCATGAAATCAAACATTACATAAAACATCAAAATCAAAATCATCAACTTACAACCAATATTTATGACTTGAAGTACCAAAACAGTGATTTCTATTTTATTTTATATGCAGTTACTTATGTTACATATGTTTTATTTTAAAAATGTTTTTCATTGTATCATTTAATTACTGTGTGTGTGTGTGTGTGTGCGTGTGTGTGTGTGTGTACTTGTTCATACTGTGGTGTGAGAGTGGAGGAGATGGTTCTCTCTTTTCACGTGTCCCAGGGATGGGAACTTTGGCTGTCAGGCTTGGTGACAAGCACCTCTGCCTGCTGAGCCATCTCATCAGCCCGCTACGTAAGTTCTAAAAGCTACATGTTTCCTCTGACCCAAATGCTGGATAAGTTTCCCTCAAATCCCTGCTGCCAGGTGATGAGTGCACATGGAAGGACTGTGAGTGGCAGCTCTGGACACTGCTGCTCTCAACACTCATTCCAATTGCTTTAGCTTTTCTTTCTGTATCACAGGATCCAGAAAGCCAAAGTACTTTCTCAGGCTTCCTTGAGGCTAAGGCTCAAAGTCTTGTTAAGTTTCACCAAATTGACATGCCCATGTGAGAAGTGAGCAGCCAGCAGTGGGTATGGTAAGCAGCTGGACAGAGGTTCTGTGGCTGGTCCCAGATGCTACAGGTCCTAAAGGCAGGGTTCCCTGTGTGGGGTTCCCAGGTCATTACTGTGGCACAGCTGGATGCTTTTCTTCACTGTGCAGCAGATAAACCTGGCCTAGGAACAAGCCACTTTCTGCTTATTGTGGTTTGAATGAGAATGTCCCCCATAGGCTCCAAGTTTTTGGATATTTTGTCCCCACTTGGTGGTGCTGTTCTGGGAGGTCTTAGAAGGTATGGCCATGCTGGAGGAAGCATGTCACTGGGGGCAGGCTTAGAGAGTTCTTAAGCCTCACAGGGTCTCCAGTCACTCTCTGCTTCCTGTGCCGACTGGAAGACGTGAGCCTCTGCTTTCTGCTCCTGCTCTGGCCACCTCCTGCCACCCTGCCACCATGCCTTCCTGCCATGACAAATTCTAATTCCCCTGGAACTGTAAGCTCAAATAAACTCTTACTTTTATAAGTTACCTTGGTCATGGTGTTTTATCACAGCTACTGAAAAGTAACTAACGCAACTAGTTACTGTGGATTTTTGTTTTCTGCAATAAAGATCCTGATGCATACAGGATAGTGAATGAACACATGTGCATTTAAGAAAGTTTAGTAGGACACTGCTTTTATTTATTTAATTAATGAATTAGGGTTTTCATTTATTTGTTTATTGAGATAGGGCCTCATTACATAGCAATTTCCTGCATTTGCTTCCTGAGTGCTGAAATTATAGGCATGCCCCATCATGTTCAGCCTATATATTGTCATCAGCTTAGAAATTAAGATACTGCTAAATTCACTAAATGGACTCAGTGCATTACACACAAAGACACAGACACACAGACATACACGTTTATAAATGTATGTACATATGACAGTGATGGTGGGGAAGAGGATGGGAGGTTGAGGGGGTAGGGGACAGGGAGGAGTAGGTGGGGCTGGGCAGCAAGGAAATAGTGCAGGGACAATGTAGGAAACTTTCAAAAAGTAACAAACTTTCTTCTGTTTAAAATAATTCTTTTATGAGAAAAGATGATTTTTTCCCAAAAATTTCCTTAGTAGCTGTTTTGTGGAACCTCTCTTTCCCTAAACAAATACATTCCCTAAAGACAGAAAGAATTTTTTTCTTTTGAGATTGAGTCTCACTGAACTGGCAGGATAGTTTCAATCGCACAGCTGCAACTTGTCCTCCCACCTCATTTTCTTGAGTAGCTGTGCCACTACCCTAAAGATAATTGTATGCCACTTGGGCAATGACCATTTGGCTTTTGGGACACAGACCTCTTTGGAAGTCTGATTATAGGTTATTAACACCTCATCTTCAAATAAATATACTGCTATAGGGACCAGTGAAAGGGCTCAGTGATTAAAGGGGCCTGCTGCCAAGCCAGACAACCTAAGTTCGATCCTTAGGATCCACACGGTGGAGAGAACTGACTCCCACTAGTTGTTTTCTGACCTCAACACAAACAGTGGCATGCACATGTTTACACACACACACACACACACACACACACACACACACACACAAATAAGAATGCACTTAAAAACTTACCAAAAAAACCCTTACAACCCCCCCAAACCCCCTCCCCAACTGCTGTGGTTTAGAGGGTAGAGGTGCCTGCTGTCAAGGCTGACAACATGAGTTTGATTCCTGGAACCCACATAATAGGAGAAAACTAACTGCTGAAAGTTTCCCTCTGACTTCCACATGAGCACTGTGGTGGTGCCCAGTCATAAGATTAAAATAAAAAAAGATAGGACCTAGTTGAGAGTCTTCCAGTGATAAGAAGACAGATCTTGAGGAGGACTCGGGGACAAAGACACCTCTTCTTCTTTTGCTTTGTCTCCTGGCTGTCAGAAAGCCAGCTGTTTCCTTTCTATGACCTCTCACTATGATGCCCTGTCTCACAACCAGGTCCAAGAGCAACAGGCCAACTAACCATTTCAATCAATTTCTAAAATGGTAAGCTAAAATAAACCTTTCTTCTTTTAAATATTTTATTATTTTTATTTTATGTATATGAGTGCACTGTCTGCATGAATCTGAGTACACTTGTGTCATGCAATGCCACGGAGGTCAGAAGCGGGCTTTGGATTCCTCTGGAACTGGAGTTAAGGACTATTTGTAGCCGCCATATAGGTGCTGGGAATTGAACCCGGGTCCTCTGCAAGAGCAGTCAGTGCTCTTTAACTGCTGAGCCATCTCTCCAGCCCCAAACCTTTCTTTTTTTGAAGTTGATTATCTCAAGTATTATTTTTAATGATTTACTTGTTAAAATTATGTGTGTATGGGGCCTAGTCCATGCCTTTAATCCCAGTACTCGGGAAGCAGAGGCAGGCAGATGTCTGTGAGTTTAAGGCCAGCCTGGACTACATAGTGAGTTCCAGGCCAGCTGGGGCTATGGGGAGACCCTGTCTCAAAAAGAACAACAACAAAATAAATAAAATTATGTGTCTATGTGTGTGTGTCTTTGTGGGGTATGTGCACATAAACGCAGGTGCCTGTGGAGGCCAGAAGAGGGTGTCAGATCCTTTGGAGCTGAAGTTACAGGCAGTTGTGAGCTGCCTGATGGGTGTGCTGGGAACTGCAATCAGGTCCTTCCACAAGTAGTATACACTCTTAGCTGCTGAGCTATCTCTCTAGCCCTTGCCTCAGGTATTTTGTTATAATAACAGAAAGTTGACTGACAGACATAAAAGTATGCTCCTATAATTCCCATGCGAAGCAAACCAGTACATGGTACCCCTTAAGATGAAGGAAAAAATCTGTTTCAAATACTTTTTAGAGAAGTAAATTACTGTATTTCCCACAATCAAGGGTTTTTAAAAGGTAGTTTTGTTTTCCAAAATTAGAAAACTAAACAGCTCCTCTTCTCACTTCTACTTCCTTAGACTCACCATGTTTTGGGCTGAGTATGGGAAACGGATCTCCCAGTTTCCAGAAGAAATACATAAATGTCAACCATAAGAGACAGGAAAAGAGCAGTCGTTGTTTATGCACTAGAACAGAGGATACAAGATGGTTAGGCAGAACAGACACCTATTAGAGAGTTTGTTCTACTTAAAAATATGAGCTTCTGCTAATTAATACCTGACTGACTTGTTCACTTGGCAAATGGTGGAAAGATAATTCTTGGTGAAGCCCTCCTACCACCATTAGAGATATTTTTTCTGAAATTACAATATGGACTGAGTTAAAAGAGACATTATAGGGGGCTGGAGAGATGGCTCAGTGATTAAGAGTGTGTGCTGCTCTTGCAGAAGACCAGATTTCAGTTCCCAGCACCCACATTGGGTAGTTCACAATTGCGTTTAACTCCAGCTCTAGAAGAATCTAACACCTCTCACAACTGCCTATAACTCCAGCTCTAGAAGAAGCTAACACCTCTGGCCTCCTGAGCACCTGAACTTATGAGCACATACCCACACACAGACACATAATTAAAAATAAATTTTAAAAAGACATTCTAGAAGCACCTGTGGCAGGACGCATAATCTACTTACTCATACAGAATTGATTGATTGATTGATTTTTCTGAGACAGGGTCTGCCTGTAGCCCCAACTGGCCTGGAACTTGCTATAGTAGACCAGGCTGGCCTTGAATTCAGAATTCTGCCTACCTCTGCCTCTTAAGTGCTGGGATTAAAGGCATACATTACTATGTCTGGCCAGAATTTATTTTACAACTGTTTTAAGACATGTGGTGTCCCCAGACAGCAGTAGTAAATATAGAAATGAAGCTGCCTACAATTCCACTCTCCATTAATTCGTACTCCAATCTGTGTGTTGATGTTAGAAGGCAAAATACTTACATAGTTGGATGTTACTCATGATAAAGTAGCCAATGTAGAAAGGTACCATGAAAACCAAAATGAACAGAATTATATACAGGTTCATTTTCCAGTGGAAGTAACGGGAGCTGAAATAAAGACCAAAGACCATCACTGGGAGGTGGGGAATGTGCATTTCATGGTTTTATCTTTAAACTATTATAGAGATGCTATGAACATTAGTGTACCATGAACATAATATGACCAGGTTTTTCTCTTTACACAGAGGTGGAGTGGAATGGCTACACCATATGGTAAATTTATATTTAATCTCTGGAGGCAGTCCTATTGTTTCTCAGTGTGGTTACATCACTTTACATTTGCCCTAGCAGTGCTGAGGAGTGCAGTTTTCTTTACCTGCAACACCACTTGCTATTTATTGTCTGTCTTTTGGGTTATGGCCATCCTAGAGGAAATAGTATGTTACTGTGGTCTTGTGTTTCTCTGATGGGTAATGAACTGGACCATCTTTTCATGCGCTTATTGGACATCTGTACATCATCTTTGGACAAATGCCTATTTAGACTTTTGTACACTTTTTATACTGTGCTCTTTTTTTTCCTTTTGTAGTACTGGAGACAACCTAGAATTTTATACATGCTAGCTAATCACTACCACTGAACTATATTCTCAGTCAGTCCTTTGTCTAACCCCTTCCCAGGCCTTTTTGAGACAGGGTCTCTCTGTAGCCCCAGCTGGCCTGGAACTCACTATGTAGACCAGGCTGGCACTGAACTCACAGAGATCTACCTGCCTCTGCCTCCTGAATGCTGGGACTAAGGGCACGCACCACCATGCTCAGCCCTCTGTACACTTAGACCAGGCTGGCCTTGAACTCAGAAATCCACCAGCCTCTGCCTCCTGAGTGCTGGGATTAAAGGTGTGTGTTGCCTTTTTATTATTGACTTGTAATATATTCCAGAAAGAAAATCCTTATGAGATAGGTGATTTGAAATAATTCTCTCTATTCTTGGGATAGCTATTCATTTTCTTCATGGTTTTATCTTTCTATTATGACTGATAGTAGCCTGGCTTGGTATGTATGGTTATTAAGAATTTGTAGAACATTGGTCTATGCCCTCCTAGCTTTCAAAATCTCCATTGCAAAGTCAGGTGTTATTCTGATAGGCCTGCCTTTTATGCGATTTGGTCTTTCTCTCTTGCAGCTTTCAGTATCCTCTCTTTGTTCTATACATTTAATTTTTTGATTATTATGTGATGTGGGAATTTCTTTTCAGGTCCTATTTGGTGTTCTGTATGCCTCTTGCATCTTGACAGGTATCTCCTTCCTTAGATTTGGCAAATTTCCTTTTATGATTCTGTTGAAGTATTTTCTGTACCTTGTACCTGGGTTTCTTTTTCTGTATCTATGATCCATAGTTTTGATCTTTTTATAGTATCTGAGTTCATACACTTTTTGTTCCTGGGTTTTCTTAGATTTAGCATTGTCTTTGACTGAATGATCCAATTCCTGTACCTCATCTTCAAGGCTTCATATTCTCTTTTCCATGTGATTTATTCTATTGGTGAGGCTTTCAACTGAGTTTATTTTACTGACAGTTTCTCATTTTAGGTTTTATTTCAGTTTGAGTTTTCTTTAGAAATGACATTCTATTTTCATATCTTAGATTGTTTTATTTCATTCAGTTGTTTGTGTTTTCATGGTCTTCATTCAAGAATTTATGTGTGGCCCTTTTTGAGTCTGCTGAACATATTCATAATTGCTATTTTGAAATGTTTGTGTTGTGTATCAGGGAACACTGTGGTGAGTATACTGATTTCTGGAGGAGACATGCTGTCTTGGTTATTCATACTTATGTTTTTGAGATTGGACTTAGGCATCTGGATATTTGTTTGCTGTTACCTCAATGTGTCAGGTTGAAGACCAGTGTCAGATGTGTTCCCTGTGCAGCTTGGGATATGTGGACTTCTAAGCCCAGGAGCAAACCTTCTGTAGAGGTAGATTTTCACTGCCAATTTTCAGAAGTTTGTGGAATGCTCTCAGGGTTCTACAGGTGGTCCTTCGGTGGCAGAAGCTGGGGTCACAGTAGGATTGTTAGCAGTGCTCCCAGGGGGTTGGGAGGAAGGATGCCACACCAACCTCAGGTGGAGGGAGGTGGGGTAGAGGTTGGATTGGAAGTCTCTAAATGGATTCAATGTTCCAGGACCCCTCAGTCTCTAGGTGGTGTGTAGGTAGGGTGCCTTTGGTGGGGTGTGTATGTGTGAAGACAGGCTCTGGGTACTGCTATCTGGTAGGTGGAAGATTTTTGGGGGTGCTTACCTGGTGTTGAGGGTAGCAGGGATCCATACACAGGATCCTGGGGGTGGTATGGGGGGAGGAGTCACTGGATTCAGGGGCTGTGTATCTACCTGCAGTGCCACATTCAGGGTTCAGGAAGAGCCACTCATGAACACATGGTGATAGCTAAGAAGCAGTGACCATGCTTTGGGGTGATGACAAGGGGGCAGTTGCCTGGAGCCTGGCAAATCCCAAAGGGAGGGCAGGAATCAGGAAGAGTAGGGATCACTATTCATTTTCTTGATAGTGTCCTTTCAACTTACTGATTTTTAAACTTAGGCACTCTTTCAAAAAGTGGGCAAGTGGTTAAGTGGCTTATGAGGATATAATAAAATACAGGATAAGGAAATAAACTGTAAGGAAATATGAAAGTAAAGAAAGGCAGTGAGGAAGGGTAGGTAAGACACTGGGCTAGGCCTGACAGCTATTATGAAATAGAGTTCTGGAAACTTGCTATATGGGTGAGTCACAAATTTAGTTTCCAATTTTATAATGGACTGTGTGAACTAGATGATTTGATCAGTTTGATAAAATTATGGTGTTTATAAGAAAATAAGCCTGGGGGGCTGGAGAGATGGTTCATCAGTTAAGAACACTGACTGTTCTTACAGAAGACCTGGGTTCAAATCCCAGCACCCTCATGGCAGCAAACAACTGTCTGTAACTCCAGTTCTAGGGGATCTGACAGCCTGTTCTGTCCACTGCAGGCATTGCACAACATGGGTGCACTTACCTACATGCAGGCATAACACTCATACACATAAAATAAAAATAAAAAAAGAAGCCCACTGCTCATAATTGTTGCCCACTTATCATTACTGAATTACCCAGATAATAATGAGAGTTCTCCAACAACTTCATAAGAAAGAAAACAGGTCAGTTAACAGCATCCTGAACAATACTCTTTCCAAAGAAGCATCTATGAACTATAATGTACACAGTATGTTTCATAAGCAAAGAGTCTGTCAGTAATGTCACCCTACAGGGAGCCAAAGCCATTTAGTGTAGACGTTTTGACAGCTTTTTGCTCTCTGGATTGGCCTAGTTTAGAGCATCTAGAAAGACAAAAGGAGCTGCATATCCTCTAGGCAATCCTACTTGGTACTTCAGCTAGGCTGCTGGAACATACTAGGAGGCTGTAATTTGAAATACCAGTACTATTTGTATTGCCAATTAAAATAAATTACATTTCAATTGGTCTTTTGAGTTGAAGATAAAGTGATGTCCTCTTGAAAAAATAAAAGATTCAAACAAGATTCTGTATTTGAATAGGAAGCCATACAATCTCTGTTTAGAAGTAAATCAAAAGAACATTCACAGTAAAGACCAATATTGGCTTTTGAAAGCTATTCTGACCAGGCATTGTGGTGCAAGCCTGCACACCTTTAATCCCAGCACTTGGGAGGCAAAGGCAGGCGGATCTCTGAGTTCGAGGCCAGCCTGGTCTACATAGCAAGTGCCAAGCCAACTGGGGCTACAGGGAGACCCTGTCTCAAAACAAACAAACAAACAAAAAAAACTATTCTGAATCTCATGAATGCAAGCTAAAGATGTGATCAAGCTCCATATTTCCGCCCAGTTGTGCCAGATGTCAGCATGAAGAAACAGGTTTAGGTGCAGATATGTCTTAGCCAAAACAAAACCAAGTCTTAAAAAGGAACCCAAAGAACCAGATTTCAGCAGTGCTAGTTCCTATAACTCTGTCTTCTGACCTGCTTGGGCATTGCATAACATAGGTGCACATACACACATGCAGGCAATATAGTCATACACATAAAGTAAAAAGACAAACTACAAAAGTTGAGAAATATATACCAAAGTATGGTTGTTTCTAACTACACAGGATTAATAAAGTTAGAAGTTTAGGGGAGCAATGTACCATACAGTGTGTATGGCTTCATCACTACCACTGCTATCACTAGTCACATCTGTGGTCTGCAAACTGACTGGGCACCTAGCAATTTTTACAGATGATATTTTATTGGGGCCCAGTATTGGTTTATACATTGCCTATGTTGACTTCTGGTTCACAATAGCCTGAAATGTTTATTATCTGGCTCTTCCTTAAAAAGTTTGCTAAACTTTTATTCAGACAGCAGTGAAATATCCAAGTTGTGATAATAAAACTTAGCAAACAGCATTAAAATTAATATCAGCCCATTTTCCATAGACATTATATTTATAGCTAGCTCATTCAAAAAAGGTTCGGCATATTAAAGAGTCAGAATACATTCTGGCTTACCATACTACATGTTATTAACTGATTGGTCTAGATAGATAATTATCAATACTGATTATCTTGCCTTGAAGGTTAACCTTTCAATACTTTGTGATAAACTATCTCTGTCTTAATTTTTTTAATTTTAAAAATTCTGATTCTAGCCAGGTGTGATGGCGCACGTCTGTAGTCCCAGCACTTGGGAGGCAGGGTGCACGTGGATCTCTGCGAGTTCAAGGCCAGCCTGGTCTACATAGTGAGTTCCAGGACAGCTGGGGCTACTGGGAGACCCTGCTTCAAAAAGGCAAAAAAAAAAAAAAAAAAAAAAAAAAAAAAAAAAAATTCTGATTCTTAAAGTACTTGAGAAGATAGTCTCAGTTCTGAGTCTTGATTACAGAGTAAAAATCACTTTATCCCTAAAAGATTCTTCCATTTGATGGGGAAAAAAAAGGCACAACAAAAGTCAATATAGCATAGCTGATGAACTCCAAATAATGGCCTAAATATACTACAGTTTAATAAGAAAGAAGTATTTAAACAGACTGCAATGGCTGATGTTGATGATCAACCTGATGAGATCTGGAATCACCTAGGAGACAAGCCTCTGGGCATGCCTGTGAGGGATTGTCTTGATTAAGTTAAGTGAGGTTGGGAGACCCATCCTAAAGGAGGTCAGCACCATTCTCTGGGGTTGTGTAACATTTCTAAGCCACATTATGTGATGCTTTAAAAAAAGAAACAGCCTGACTCTTAGCATTAAGACCAAGAGTGAACTCAAATTGTTGAGCACCTAGTCCTTTAAATGTTTCTTTAGAAACAGGCTCCCCAGCAAAAGCCTTGCTCATTCTTTATTGAAAGAGTATCTCAGCATGAAATGGGGAAGTAGAAACAGGACCCACCCTTATCATACAGAGAATCTTGCCTTTGATCCCTAGACCTAGAATATGACACACACAGAACAACAGATTTCTCAGTGTTTGCAGTAAGAAAAGCAAGCTGCTGTTACCACTTTGATATGTAAAGCATTCATACATGTAGTCATTCATTAGTTTGGGTGAAGGGCAAGGAAGGGTCCTGAGGGATTAAGGTCAGGTGCCCAGGTCACAACAGGAGGACATAGCTCAGTGGACTTGTTTACACTATAAACTGTAACTTTTTTTGGGGGAGGGTCTTTTCGAGACAGGGTCTCCCTATAGCCCCAGCTGGCCTGTAGACCAGGCTGGCCTCGATCTCACAGAGATCCACCTGTCTCTGCTTCCTGAGTGCTGGGACTAAAGGTCTGAGTCACCATGCCCAGCTGTAAACAGTAACTTTTTGGTTGCAAAGTTAGGTAAAAGTTTTTAAGCCAGATTATGTCCATAATGTAAATGTCATTCCTATAGGTTTGGGTCCTGGACTGCATAAATAGGAGGAAGCCAACTGAGCACAAGCACTCATTGCTCTCTTCTTCCTGACTGCCAACATAGCGTGACCACCTGGCTTCAAGCTCCTGTTACCTTGACTTTCACAGCTACGATGGACTCTACCCTTGAAATCAACCCTTCCTCCCTTCAGCTCTTTTGTTAGGATATTTTATCATAGCAATAGGAAAATTAACTAAGACATTATCTAATAAACTAATAGGTTTTCTATTTGCAGGAAGTAAGGAGTTTTATTTATTTATTTATTCATTCATTCATTTATTTATTTATTTAGAACCAGAGTCCTTTAATCCCAGTACAGCTGTGGCTACAGGGAGACCCTGTCTCAAAAAGACAAAAAAAAAAAAAGAAGAACCAGAGTTCAGGGGGGGCTGACTAAATCCCAGTGGATGAACTTGCACTGAGGGACATCTGGGGATACTAACTTTACATGATAGGCCTGAATACAAATGACAGAATGTATGAACTCCAGTGGAGGGGCTATGGGAGGGCGCCAAAAAGGAAGGGGGAAGGGGGTATAAAGATTTTCTGTATGAAATACACAAAAAAATGGGAGTTCATGTCTCACAGTTAATGGAAGTTACTTGGTCTTATCTGTGAGATCCATATCTGGATAGATAAGCTTCCTACTATCTTATTAAGCAGTAAAATTTTAGCACCAAAAAAAAAAAAAAAAAAAAAAAAAAAAAAAAAAAAATTTAAAAAAAGAACCAGAGTTCAGTCTTATGGATAGTCTTTAAATAGGAATCTTAATCTTTTTAATTAGCAGACCAATGTGAAGGACCATGAATGGTATGAATTCAGATAGAACAGTATGAAAAAAAAAAAAGCTTCCAGGAGTACAGCCTAGGACCTAGGCTTTCAGTGATCTGGTGGCCTCACTCAGTGAGTTCTGAGGGGCTAACGGCCAGACATTTTCCCCAGGTGACTCAGAATCTTCCTAACCTGTTAGGACCCTGTTATGACCCAGGTAGCCAGGATGCATATTTATGGTGACTATTGCAGTTCCTGAGACCAACCTAGCTATATGATGGATATTTCCCACTATGTGATCCAGGGACTCTTCTACTGTAAAGAAAGTGCAGCCTGCTTCTGGGGGAGGAGAATTGGGTACTTGTACTTACCTGGTGTTTAGGACTCCCAAGATTTCAAAGATGATAAGCTCAAACATGGTGCAAGAAAATGCAAAAGTCACAGAAAAGATCACCTGTACAACATACTGACGCACCTGTTAAATGCCAAGGAGAGAAGGGAGGTCAGTCATTTCCTTGCTTGAAATTCTGAATTGATAATCTTTTGGTGACAAATCAGAAAACTGATGTTGAATATTCAAGTCATTGAAGCAGGGTCTGAAGCTAAAGAAATAGACCAACATGGGCAGCACTTCTGAGTCAATGCTCACTGCGACCAACATCCTCTTGTGGTTGGCGAATTGAAGGCACAAGAAGATGGAGTGGGTCAGTAGTGCATAGATTCCTGCTGTCACTAAAAGACAAAAGGTCTGCATGTGATATTTAATGTCAAAAGGAGTTCTTTAATATCGCAGAGCTCAGATCAGTTCTGGAACTTCCCTGAGACCCTTAAGGTACCGAGCACAACAGTCTATAGAAGCCTGGGCCCTTTTAGATAGCTCCTCAAACCCTTGGAGAGCTCAATGGAGAACATCTTAGAAATGATACAAAGGTACCCAGAACCACTCATCTGATTACTAAGTAGGGAAGACCAATTAAACAATGTCTGGTCTAGGGTGTGGTTCTAGTTTGACTCTAAGACTTAAAATACGAACCAGAATGGCTTGGGAATTTTGGTATTAAAATTGAACATTGATGACTGTCGATTGACAAATGAAATGGAGCATTTATGAGGCATTATAAACTAAATTCTCTGCTACTAGTGTGTGTGTCTCATTAAGACTAAGGAATGATTATCCTTACTCTTAGCCTCTGAGCCACATGATTTAAGTTTTTTTTCTCTTTTAAATCATCTAAGCCAGTAGGGCCTAGTGGTGTATACTTGTAATCCCAACCCTTGGGAGGCTGAAGCAGGAGGACTACTACCAGCTCATCATCAGCCTGGGCTACAGAGTTCCAGGCCAGCTTGAGCTACGTAGCAAGGCCTTGTCTCAAAAACCTACTACAAGTAAATAGTAAGCAAATAAATAACTAGATAAATTAATCAAACCAAATATTCAGCAGTTTCCTAATTATACTTCTTAGTTGGCACGTTTCTTATCTGAAGAATTGAACACAATCTTTCTTTAATAGAGGCCTTTTTCTCATTCCATTTTAAACAATCTACAGCATAAAACAGTTTCTTCTCACCTCATAATCCTTAAACAACTGGTGCATGAAGAAAAACCACCCAAATCCAAAAAACAGTATCTAGAGGAAAAAAGAGAAAGAATGTCAAGACACATCTTCTGAGAAATGCCTTATAGAGCTATGAGAAAATGTCCTCTAACTAGGTAAATTCCACAACAGCTGACAGGACCATGCGTGCATGCATACACGCTGACAAAATCCTTAAATCCTTTTCCTTCTTATATTGATTGGGGATTTTATGATTAAATTCTTTTATGACTTTATATCGACTTTAGCAGCAAGTGTAAACTCACGAGCAGTTCAACATAAACTACTTCAGCCTCCTGTGTCCTTCCTGCCTATCAAACATTTTGTCACGTGGACCTTCCCCTGGTTCTGAAGACATATGTTCTTTCAGACTTCTGTGGTCTTCTCTCCAGCCCTCTCCCTCATACAGGTCTTAATGAATGTATTGCTCCTTCTGGAAGACCTGTATCCAGAAAAAAGATAAGTACTCTTTTTTGTATACACCTACTTAACTTTCCCTTATGAAAGTTTTGTAATGATTAACTAAAAATGTTTTAAATTATATGCTCTGTGAGGATAAGGACCATACTTGCTTGATTGATCTTCGCATCCTCAGTACCCAGTATGAACACCCAGCACACAGGTGGCCCTCCATAAATGTTTGTTAGGTTTGTCCAACCTTTCGATATGGAGACATGATGCCATCTACAAAGGTCATGCTCAAGAACCCTACAGCAACTGAGTTACAAATGAAAACACACACACACACACACACACACACACACACACACACAAAATCAGTTTTAAGTAAGTTTACGATTTTACGTTGGGTGACATTCAGAGTTATCCTTGGTTGTATGTGCCCAATGGGCTACAGGTTGAGCAAGCTTGGTAGTGAAAAATGGTTGTTCTCTGGCAATATTCCATATTAAAAATGTTTGCAGTATTTCTATGTGCTATGCTAGCTACTGGGAATTCAAAGATGAGTAAGACACTCATCAGCTTCAAAGAACTTACAGTACAGTGGTGAAGACACTAAATCAACAATTATAATGTAATAGAGACACGGAACAAAACAGTATGACAGAGGGAGACCAAATCGATCTCTATAGCGTTAATTTTCTGGAGAGATAATACCTGAAAAAGGCTGTAATTTGGGGCTAAAATCTAAATTGAGAGTATGTACATTTTTCTACAGAGGTTCTAAGGGTTTTACATTACTAAAATATTAAACACAATTTTTTAGAGGGATGAATAAAAACCAGGCACGTAAAAGGCAGAGATGGGGGTTTGGGAGGACAGGGTTTCCTCAAGGCAAAGAGCGTAAATAAAGGCAGGAATGAACAGCACTGGCACACACTGGCAACTGCACAGCTTGGTGTTGTCTGAGGATAACATTTAACTAAGAGGCTAAAAATGAAGGGAGGAGAAGCAGAACAGTCACCGAGAGCCCAGAAGGCCATCTCAGGGTGTCAGGAAAGTCTCTGGCTAGTAGAGACAGATTTAAACTGAAGAGTCTGAGGGCCAAATTTATATGACACATGAAGCCAGGACTAAAAATGAAGTTGGCCAATTAGGACTGGGAGAGGTATGTAAGGTGGAGAGAGATTGAAAAAAAAAAATCAAATGGAAATGGCTTAGACAAAGAAAACAGCAAATTATGTTTGCACAATGAGATAGAGAATGGGCAAAAAGAAACAGATATATAGCTTGAATGTTTTATTATGTGCCTACTGATAAGGAAAGATTGAAAGGACTTTTAAACTAGGCATACACAACAGTGACTGCAGTGGTGGACCTGCCCCTTGTAGCAGTGTGAGCAACTCAGGAGGCAGGGGGCAGGAGGATTACGTGGGCCCAGAAGTTTGAGGTCAGCTTTAGCAGCGTAGTGAGAACCTGTCTTAAAAATAAATTGGAGAATTAACTATATCCAGGATAAATACAGATTCTGATAGAGCAACTTAGAAAATGTTGCAAATAAAATGGAACCTGCATAGCTTAATTAAAAAAGAAAAACAGAAACCAAAAAAACAAAGAATTGCTGGATTTGATGGTGTGTGCCTTTAATTCCAGCACTCAGGAGGCAAAGGTAGGCAGAGCTCTGTGAGACAGAGGCCCAGCCTGGTCTACATAGCAAGTTCAAGGTCAGAGGACAACTTTCCAGAAGTTGATTCTCTCCTTCCATTGTGGCTCCGGAGATCTAACTCAGGTCATCAGGCTTGTCGACAAGTGCCTTTACTCCGTGAACTACTTCACTGGCCCCTGAGGTGACAAGTTTTCATATGTAGCCACCAAATTAATCTCAAATAAACCTTTCAGTTCATACAAAACTGGAAAAATCAAGTGTGTGTATTGCCTTCCAGTTTCTTTCTCTCTCTCCCTCCCCCTTTTTTTTCTCTCTCTCTCTCTCTCTCCTCTCCTCTCCTCTCCTCCCTCCCTCCCCGCCCCCTACTAGATCTCTACGACCTGGCAGCAATGGATCAAAGACACTGCCTTAAACTTCAAGAAACATAAAGCAGAAATGAGGAGGTGGCCAGAATGAAAGGCTATTGGTCGATGAAATAAAGTGGTCACCTAAACAGGTGCACAGGGACCATTTGGTGCAAAGGCTTCTTTGGATTTTAGTTCTGAGTAGTTCTATCAGTTAAATTTAATACTCAAGAGACACATGTGAAAGTTAAAGGATATGAATCTAAGGCATAAATGATCAGAAAACCATGTTCTTGGACCAACTTTCTAATTATCTTCATGTTAAAAAAAAATCTCACAGGCTGGACTGCAATGGCAGTTTTCTATTTACGTGCTTTTAAAAAATATTTATTATTTTATATGTATGAGTGTTTTGCCTGTATGTATGTAAGTGCACCCATGTTATGCAATGTCTGTGGAGGACAGAAGAGGGTGTTGGATCCCCTGGAACTGGAGTTATGGACAGCTGTTAGCCGCCATGTGGGTGCTGGGAACTGAAGGCGGGTCCCCTACAAGAGCAGCCAGTGTTCTTAGCCGCTGAGTCATCTCTCCAGCCTCATCTACCTACATTCTTATTCTTAGGGGACTGGGGAAAGAACACAGGACCTTACACATTCTAGGCAAGTGCTATACCATTGAGCTACAAGCCCAGCACTTTGGCATTCATATTTTTTCTAGGGGAAAAAATGCTACTCAAAGCCTAAATGTTATTTTTCTTGAATTTTCACTATGACTGAAAGTAGCTCTGTGTTGTCACCAAAGACAACAGGAAGGCTTAGAGGTTTTATGCAGAAGGGCTACATGTTCAGATTTTTGTCTATTTACACATTTGGGTACTATGCAGCCAAAAAAAGACAAAAGAATGTACATAAAAGGTGTCAAATTTGAAAATTAAAAAATGTATTACAGTGGTAGGACTGAGTGTGGTTTTTTTCCCTTGTTTCATATTTCCTTAACTGTTGTTACGAAATATTTTCAGGCATGAAGGACAATACTCTAAAGACAGGAGCATTAGGAAGAAACAGTTTAAAAACAAAAATGTACCTTAGGTCCCGAAGGGAGCCGTTCCTCTAGCTCACCATTTGGAATTACAAAGAAGAGAAACTATTTTATTGGAGAGATGGGGGTGGGGGTGTTAAAGGTCATTAATTAGAAGACGCTTCTGCAGCTACTAACTGATAGGTAGGTATCATTTAGCGGGTGCTTATTTGGAGGTGGGTATCCAGCTATGCACGTAACTATGTGCGTGGTATTAAATGCTGTGATTAGAGGAGAGGAATTAAAAAAAACCTGATATATAACGAATGACACAGGAAAAGCATGAGGCTCACTAGGCGAAGCTTCTGGAGAGCAGCAGTGGTTTCCGCTCTCAGTTTTATACAGTGGTACATAAAAGTCGACTTATGAACGGAACTGTGGACAACTTGGAAGAAAGGAGGGTTTGAAAACAATCCTTAAGGGGTGAGTATCCAGCTGAGCACGAATGACAAAGTAGCACCGAACAAACAAAACCTTACAGTTGGAACTCGCGGAAGCAAACACCTCCGCACCCGGATCCAGGAACTGGCACCAGCAAAGACCACAGGAGTCTTAGAGCTGGTTGGCTCCTTGGAAACACACTGGTCCCCACTGTGGGGTCCGCGGCGCAGCCTTGAGCCTCGCGGGCCTATGGGGACTGCGCCGCTCCGGTAGCACCAGCTTCCAGCGCTGGGGCCAGCTGACCCCTCCCAAAGCTGACCCGGGAGATGGACGCTGGGTGGGCGACACGGCCTAAGCCAGCCGCGACCGCCCGAGCTCCCTCGTCTCCGGGTGTCGGCGGAGGGCAGGCCGCGACGCCATCCGGAGAGCCGCTGCAGGGCGCTGGGCAGGCGGCCGCTCACCTGGGTGGTGATTAGGATGCTGGAGTCGATCAGGAAGCTCATGGAGAAGCATCCGGAGGGCCCGTGCCCTGCTGTCCACAGCCAAGGGTAGCTGCATTCTAGAGCCAGAGGCCCACTGTCATAGGCGGCCTTTGCTCTCGGGCCGCGGCGGTGTCGACGTGTCGCCGGCGCGACGCCATCAAGATGCGCCCCAGCCAGCCAATCAGTGGTCGTATCTCCGCCTCTCGCCGCAGGCGAGTGGGCCCGGGTGGTCAACCCTGGGGGCGGGGGTCAGGAAAGGGCGGGGTCGTATACTCCAGACTGAGAAATCCGAATTAGCAAAGATTCAAGGCAGCATTCCTCTTCCTGAGGCTGAAAGAGTTGAGGCTGGAGAGGCAACGTCTTTTTTAAAAAAGTGGTAATGCCAGTAAATGTAATGACTATAGCTAAAAACACGAAGTTAATTATTGGGCTGAGAGTTGCGTGAGGTTCTATCTCTAGCACTCTGCAAGAAACAAAAATAAATTAATATAATGAGCTAGGCCTTAAACTGTGTTGTAAATGTTACAACTTTTACTTGGCTTCATAAATAATGTCTCAATTACAGGTGACTCAGGAGAGGAGAAGCAGGTGAGATTTTTTTCTCAAATACAGCTAACTAACCAAGTAAATTTCTGCTATGATACCAACAAAAGAACGCTGTCTAATATGAGTGATAATCTCATTGGAATCGGTACTAATGAGAGTGCAGATGGAGTTCTGCGCTTTTTCTTCAACACTTCTAGAGACACATAAGAACCGTAGGGCACTTGGCATGTGTGATGTACCTACGTTTGATCCTTATAACCACAGAAGAAAAGAGGAGGAAAAATAGGAAAAATGGAGGAAGAGGAGGAAGAAGAATGAGAAGGGGAGAATGAGACATTATTAGAACATGCTCGAGGTGATGCCTGGCAATGACCCCAGAAGGAATTGGAAACTTGGGAACCTGAGAAAGAATAGGTAACACTGATACAACCTCAGGGGATATTTATAGGGTAAAGGACTGGAGTAACTGATGTAGCCTTGGGGGTTATTTGTGGCTAAAGGATTGGAGGTTACCTGATTTTAATTCAAAATAAAGAATGAAGAGTTATTGTTAGAAAGTAGTTTCTCCCTTCCCAACATAGATTCTGTGGCTGTAGCTCAAATAGAGAGTGAATCACAATTTTATCCACTGGATCATGACAATGTAATGCACTGCAGTAGGGTTTACTCTTTTTCTACTAGAACCCTAGCTAGACTTCATAATCCCTGTGGTCTCCTAGTCCAGGACGGGGTAAGCCTCTGTGCAAGTTCCTGAAGTCATGGCGGTAGTAAAGACCTGGAAACGGAACCTTGTGGGGGCCTAGTCTCTAGAATCTGAGTGCTCTGAATACTGCAGTTGGAATAACTGAGATTCCCTCCCCACAAAGTCATTGCACATAAAGAAAGTGGCCTTCTTTGAACTGAGTTCTGTCCTATGAAACAGCCCAAAATACGTATATTGGATGCCCAATCCCTGTTTCAGAGTGCCAGGGAGTTGTGGAGACATCCTTGTGTATTAGTTGCTTTTCTGTTGCTGTGATAAAACAACTTTACCATGGTGACTTATAGAAGGAAAAGTTTATTGGGCTAATGGTTCCAGAGGGATGAGAGTCCATCATGGTGGGGAGGCATGGCAGGAGGTGCAGGCAGGAGAGAGAGAGACAAACTAAAAGTGGACAGGGCTAAAGCCCACTCCTAGTGATGTGCTTCCTCTAGCAAGGCCACCCTCCTAAACCTCCTAAAACGATACCACCAACTGGGGACAAAGTGTTCAAATACTTGGAGCCTGAATGTTCTCATTCAGCCCACCACACTTACCATGGGAATGTCTTAAACCAGAGAACTTTATGTTCTTGGCTCCATCTATCAGGGAAGCAAATAGCTGCCTACCCTGCCACACCTAACTGACATTTGAAGCTGTATAGTGGTGCAGGATACTGGGAAAGCTTACAGATATAGCTATCATACATAGTTAATTTGACCTATAGAACTTGTGAACAAAAGGAAGCATGGAGACAAAATTTAACATTGAATATATGTTGAAATTCACAAATAAAAGTACAAGTTGATAAAAAAAAAATCAATAAATGAAAGAAACAGAACTGTTTTGAACATCTGGTCCCCTATTCTCTGGGCTTGGTTGGGACAGAAAGTTCTCTCTACCTCCCCAGTACTTTCCAAGACTAACCACTTCTTAGGATGATGGACAGAAGGGCATTTGGTCAGTTTAGGTAAGTCCCTACCTTTCTCACTGGTTTGTGATTTAGCACCCTGACTTTGGAAAGACAGTTATAAAGGAAATACTGGTGTATTTCGAAGTCTGAGATATTATTTGTCACCCTCATACATAGCCATGCCCACATGCTTTTCCATTTTATACAAAATAGACCACCATGAGTACAGTGCACCAGTGTTTGTCTCCTTTAACTCACATTGGATCCCTAATGTGATAGCATTTGAAAGTGGGCCTTTGCCAGGTAATTAGGTTTGATTAAGTCGTGAGGGTAAAGCTCCTATGATTAGTGCCATTATAATGAGATTAAGCAGACAGCTGACCGTCAGCCAGGAGGAGGACTTTCACCAGGAAGTGACCATGCCAGGACCTTGATCTTGGACTTCTAGGCTCCAGAACTGTGAGAAAAGTGTTTGGTGTTTAAACCACTAAGTATATGATATTTTGTCATATATTTATTTCATCACATGATTTTCACTAAGAAGCATACAATGAACATTTCCTCATGCCAAAACTTCTCCATTTTCATTATTAAAATTCTAGCATAGGGTTATGCCATGATTTAATAAATCTACATTTGTTGGGGTGAGCGGTACGTGTTTGTGTGTTTGTGTGTGTGTGTGTGTGTGTGTGTGTGTATGTGTGGCCCAAAGGATAGCCTTGAGTGTCATCAGAAACACTGTCCTCCTCCTTTGAGATGGAATCTCTCATTGGCCTGAAGCTTGCCAGTTAGGCTAGACTGGCTGGCCAGTGAGCCCCAGGGATCATCCTCTCCAGAACTGGGATTACAGATGTGCACTTCTACCTGGCTTTTTCACATGGACGTTGGGGATCAACTCAGGTCTTCATGCTTGCACAGCAAACACTTTACTGACTGAGCCCTCTCCCCAACCTCTCAATATACATTTTTGATATTTTTTGTGTTGATTGCTATACTGAAATTATGTGGTGGAGAATTTATTTATTTATTTACTTGTTTATTTGAGACAGAGTCTCGCTATATAGCCTTGGCTGGCCTGGAACTCACTATGTAGACCAGGCTGACCTCGAATTCACAGAGATCTCCTGTGAGTGCTGGTGTGTGTGTGTGTGTGTGTGTGTGTGTGTGTGTGTGTGTGTGTGATCACGCCCAGCTGGTGAATAATTTGTTAAAATGATTTTTATTTTGTAAGATTTTATTATTTATTTAATTTTTGAGACAGGGTCCCACTATGTTGCTCTGACTGGCCTGGAACTTGCTGTGTAGACCAGGCTGACCTTAAACTCACAGAAATCCAATTGCTTCTCCTCTCCTGAGTGCTGGGGTTAAAGGCATGTGCCACCATGCCCAGCTGCCCGGCTTTTTAAAAATTTTTGTTTTATGTGTGGGAGTGTTTTGCCAGAACGCATGCAAGTGCACCACATGTGTGCTATGCCTGCTGAAGCCAGAAGAGGGCATGAGATCCTCCTGGAACTGTAGTTAAGGATGTGTGTTAGTCACCTTGTGGGTGCTGCGAAAGGACCCGGATCCTTTGGAAGAGCAGTCAGTGTTCTTAACTGCTGAACCATCTCTCCAGGACCCCCCCCCCGTTTCTAATTTTTAATGTGTGCATGTATGTGTATACATGTTTATATGTGTGCATGTGTACATAAGGAGCCCAGAGGACAGCCTCTTACATTATCCTCAGAAATGCTGCCTGCCTTCTTTGAGTCAGGGTCTCTTATTGGTCTGGAGCTTGCCAATTAGTCTAGACTGCCTGGCACCAGGGATCCTCCCACCTCCACCTCCTCAGTGCAGGGATTGCACCAAGACCAACATTTTCCAATAGAGCAATTGCCTCAGTCTCTACGTGGTGAAGAATTTGACCCACAAGTAATGCTTATCCTAGCTTTCAACTTTTCTGGGCAAGGGCTTTCACTGTGTGTATATTCCAGTGAATTCTGGGACGCACATTATGCTCCTCCAGCTTGGTTTCTATGCAGCTAGAGTTGGGGCCTGTGAACTTCTGTAAAGTAGTGGTGGCCAGTGACTTGTGGGTGAAAAGTCAGTCATCCACCCTAGGAGTTATTTCCCAGAAACTTTGGTTTCCCTTTTGAGGGGAGTGGGAGAAAACACCACAGCAATTTCTTCTCCTCTGACAACTCTCCTAAAAGATGGCCTCTTTCAATTAAACCTCATCTTTATCTTAAGTAACCTGGAGTGGTTCATAAACTGTGAGTCGCTAGACCATTTGAGGACCACTTAAAACAATTAATTTTGGACTATTTGTGCTTAAGAATGTGCAGATACTGAGTATTCAGTGCCCTCAGATTTGTGGCTCTGTATGAAGCACAGATATAGGAAATCTCTTAACATTTAATGACATACTTATGAAATCAGATCTATAAATTCTATTTTGATACTCTAGTTTTGCCAAGGACTGAGGGAACATATTAAAGTTCTGTTTGTGTTGCTATATTTTTGTTCATATTTCTGATGGTTTCACATCCTGATACCTTGTTTTTTCAGTGCAGATGATCTGTATTATGTCTTTGTTGCTATTATATTTTACACCAATGAAAATAAATATTGATTTTTGTTTATTTGTTCTGTGGACTATGTGTTTATTTTTTCCTAGCATTTTAGAAGGCACAGGTTTTTCTTTAAAATAACACATGTAACCCCAAGTTTTCTATTTAGTAACAGAGAATCAAACATTGTAAGTTAAGAGAATCAGGGCACTTCTGCTTTTTGTGGCTACCCGTCTCCCTTAATCTCTACACTTATACATGTCCTAAATTTATGTTCATATAATCAGCTCCTAGCACCTACATCAGGTGACTCACAACCACCTGTAACTCCAGTTCCAGGGGGGATCTGACTCCTCTGGCCTCTGCAGGTACCTGCACCCTTGTTCACAGACACACACACACACACACACACA